CATTTTTCTGTTTTTTTCTTTTGACCTTCATTTTTCTGTCAAACAAAAGTTTGCACTTTTGTTTGACAGAAAGTTTTATATTTTCTTATTGTAATAGAATGCAGGCATTTTAATAATTATTAAAAATGACTGTGTTTTTTATTTTAGTTACAATGATAATTATACTTTTGAAAGAAAAAATTATGCTTTTGCGAGGGCCATAAAGCGCTCTCGTAAACCATTTTAGGGGAGTGTGGGTGAGAGCGAGAGCTTTAGCTCTTGCTTCCTGCTGAGGCCTGGGACATAAATTATCATGTTTAAAAAATTCAAGAAAACTTGTGTAAATAATTATAAAATCTACAAACTCAAAAATCCTGCAGTTATTCCATCAAAAGCCATGCTGATTTTTGCAAGAAATCTATCCTTTCGTTTTTTTAGAGTCAGTTATATAAACAAAACAGCTTTTATGTATATAATGCATACTCTATATTATGTATATATTTGTGTGTGTTTATATATATATATATATATATATATATAAATATATATAAATATATATATATATATATATATATATATATATATATATATATATATATATATATATATATATATATATATATATATATATATATATATATATATATATATATATATATATATATATATATATATATATATATATATATATATATATATATGCTCAGCAAAATTTCAATAGTTCCACTTACAATTTGTACATATAGTTAAATTCACGAAGTATTTGCATTTTTATTTTTGTTTATTACAAAAATTATTAGGAATAAATAAATAAGCAAATAATATTTTAATAGAAAATAATTATTAATTTATTTTGTAAAACTTAAAAATTAGAAATATTTTTAAAAAACAGGCAAAATTTCTATAGTTCCATCAAAGGTAATCATTTAAAATTTTTGTTCTAGATAATAATTTTTTAATTAGTTTAGTTTCTAATAATGTTTGCTATCACCTTTTACACTAATTAATTTGAAGATTCGGTTTTTCTTACTTTTTATAAGATTTTCCAAAGAAACCTTTGAAATACTGTTCCATGCTTGTTGGATAGATGTTTTAAGTTCTTGTATTGTATTATACTGTTGAGAATTTCCATATATAGTTCGCGCCAATATTCTCCATAAATTTTCAATAGGGTTCAATTCAGGTGAACATGATGGCCAATCCAAAACATTTATATTTTTTTCCTGGAACCACTTTTTTACACTTTGTGCTGTGTGAATCGTTGCATTATTTTGTTGGAAAATCCAGTTCTCAGTAGGTAAACCTTCACTAAACTCTATTTAAACATCTTTTAAAAGATCTACATAACTTTTTGCATTCATTTTTGTTGTAATAAAACATATTGGAATTTTGCCGTGGAAACAAAATGCGGCCCACACCATAACTGTCACTCCTCTGAAGTTACGACTCATAGCTATGTTATCTTTTTTTTTCAAATCATGCTTTAAAACCATCAGGTCCATCTAAGTTAAACTTTTTTTCGTCGGAATAAATAACATTTTCCCATTCTGCATACCATGCCATGTGGTCCTTTGCAAACTTAAATCTTGCACTTTAATGTTTTTTATCCAAAAATCGTCCAAAATTTGTTGGACACGTCTTGTAGTCACAGGTAATTCATATTCTGTTCTTACTTGTCTTGCTGTTCATACTCTGGATGACGCCAAATACAAAACGGAAAAATGTTGCCTTTTGGTTGTTTTTTTATTTCCGCCCTTAAAGTGATTTTTGTTGTAATTTCTATCTAAATTTATAAAATTGTTCACTGCATAATAAGACCTTTTGATTTTCTTTGCAATTTGTTGATTAGACAAACCCATATCTTTGTAAGTGACAGTTTTTGCTTTTTCTTCCTCATTAAACACCTTTCCGCGTGGCATTGTTATAATTAAATAACAAATCTATCAGAAATATATCAGGCAAGTATATCAGAAATTTGACAACAGTTATCAATACCAGGATGAATATAATATTTATAGAGATAGAAAAAATTCTCTAATTCATATATCTGGTCAATATATGAATTAGAGAAAAAGTTTTTTGCAATTATTAAGTTTATTATATAAACAATTAATTTTGGCTAAATATATTTATCAATATTAGTATATAAGAAATGACTAAATGAGTCACAAAAGTTCATATTTGAAGTAAGGTCTTATGATATTATCAGAAAATTTGAGGTACCATAAAAGCCAAAAAGATAACAAAATTATTATGACATTTAAATAAAAAATTTCAAAAAATATTGACATTTTTTAAACACAATTATAAGGATTATTTTATTAAAGCATTTCCATGTTTTTGAATGTTATTCTTATTTCCAAGATAATGCTTTTTTTTTTCAGATTGAGTTCTTCATTTACTTTATCAATAAAAAAGATTTTCTTTGTTGATACTGTTCAATTATTATTGTTTTATTCTTAGAAAAGTTAAGTATTTATAAAGAGTCACTATTTTAATTTTTCCTACAAAACCTCTCGTTGATGCCTTGGAACCATTTTCCTGGGTATAACTTTACATTTAATGGTTTACCTAAAGATCATTTTGTTAAAAGGCATTGTTACGAACAAAGCATGATACAATGTCAATGAAGTTTTTGGTTGTCCATTGAATACAAGCAGATAAAATTTCTTTTGAAGGACCTTTAATTATTTGGCAGTTCAAAGAAAAATACCTTTTTCTGTTTTGATACAATTCTTTATTTTCTCCCTCAGCGCTTGTTATTGGATATGCTTAGTCTATTGCTCCAATATATCCTGGAAATCGTCAAAGTTCGTAAAATCTAAAAAATTTAAAAATACTTTTTATATATTTATATATAAAAAGTATTTTTAAATTTTTTAGATTTTACGAACTTTATTTATAAATAACTTTATTTATAAATAAAACTTTAAATTCATAAAAAGAAGCAATAGCTGATATATATCCTCTATAGTACCACACACACACACACACACACACACACACACACACACACACACACACACACACACACACACACACACACACACACACACACACACACACACACACACACACACACACACTCACACACACACACGCACGCACGCACGCACACACACAAATATATATATATATATATATATATACATATAAACAATATATATATAAACATATAAACATAAACATATATATATATATATATATATATATATATATATATATATATATATATATATATATACATATAAACAATATATATACATAAAAACAATATATATTTATATATATATATATATATATATATATATATATATATATTTATATATATATATATATTTATATATATATATATATATATATATATATATTTATATATATATATATTTATATATATATATATATATATATATATATATATATATATATATATATATATATATATATATATATATATGTATATGTATATATATATATATATATATATATATATATATATATATATATATATATATATATATATATATATATATATATATATATATATATATTAGTTATTATAATATAATTATAGTGATAATACGAATACTTTCTCGCATGTAATGAACCAGTAACATAAAACCGACATACAATTGACAGTTGTTGTACTGGTGAAATGTTTATATAGTATAAAATAATGATTCATTAGTAATTCACTCATGAATTGATTAAATTGACAAAAATTTTGACTTTTTACCGCATATTATACAAGATGATAATGGCGTTTTGTTTTTTTATTTCAAGTTTTGTTTCAAGACCAGTCGGTACCTAACTTAAAAAAGAGACTTGAAATCAGATTTTTCAAGATCGAATTCATTTTAAGTTTGTTTCTTGCATAACACTTTAGTCAGACTTCCGATTCGAAATATAATTTGAAATTTCAAGTTCGCTTCTTGCATTCGGAAAAGATTTTTGATTTTTAAAGTTGGCTTTTCAAGTGCAACTTGAAAACGGCCGGTTTTCAAGTTAGACTTCGAATTCAAGTTCGCTCTTTATACTTGTTCAAGTCAAATTTTAGACTTAAAGTATGACTTCAAAGTTCAAGTTCGCTTCTTGCATTCCACCCGTAGACTATAAAATTTTAATTAAATTAATGAAAACTGCGTAACGAGGTGAAACTCAATTTTATGATTATTTTCTCTGGTGTTGTTTTTTTTAGAAAAAAAACTGTTTTTTAAATGAACGAGCTTGAAAACTTTACCAGGACTCCTAAAGCAAAAATGAAAATATTTAATTGTCAGATTTTTTTATTGTGGGGTATTTACTTTTAAAATTTTGCAAAAAAAAAAAAAATTTTACAAACAATTATTTTTGGCATTTATGCCGATCTCTGGTCCACTATACAGTAGGGTGGAATGGATTTTTTTTTGAATATCTTTGGCATATCCTTACTAAATAAATTTAGTAAGGATATGCCAAAGATGTCCACTCATTATAAATTATTTAGAAAATAACATTCAAAATAAGTAATTAAATTAGTACAAATTTCAAAAAAAAAATATTTTACAAAAAATTTTAAAAGTGCACATTTTTTATTTTTAGTTAAAGAGTGTCGTTTTTTAATAATTTAAAATCAAAAGTGTTAGGATTTTCTCAAAATCTTTGCTTAGGATTTTCTCTATTATCCTAAAAAAAAAACTTTATTATTTTAGGTAAACAGGTTTTTATTATTATATTTTTATAAATTAACAATCAGATATGCGAAATATCAAAAGTTACATTTTACAAATTTAACTACTGTGAACTTTAATGTTTTTTTTTTTTTTTTTTTTTTTTTTTTTTTTTTTTTTTTCCCTCCATAAGGTATGGTTGAATCCGTAAGTGAATTGAGCTTAATTTTCAAGTAAATGGACGTTTTAAAACTATAATTTTTCTATATTAATAAAGTTATTTACTTGAAAGTTTTAAAATACTATTTAAATATTACTTCAACTTATATTGCTATGCTTTTATAAGGATCGTTGTTTTATACTTTATTAAAGGTACGCTTCACAATGGAAAGAGTTGAAAGGCGCAGGGTTGGTCGCCAATATATTAACAATTAGTCTTATCGTATTTGGCATGTTAGTCTCGTTTGTTGTGTACAACCCGTCGTATAAAAGAGCAGCAGATCATGCAGACTATAAAAGAACAGTTGAATATGTTGGCTTAAACTAGGTCACTAATCAAAGTTTATCAAACAATCAATGTCTGTCATTATTTGTCTTTTATAATCTTAAATCTAATTTTTAAAACTTAAAATTTTTTTAGTTTGCGAAAAGTGGAAACATAAAACAACGAAGATTTGTTTGAACGTAATTAGTCTGCAGCTTTAAATTTTTTGTATAATTAATTTAAGTTTTTATATTAATGTGTTCTTAATTTTTTTATATATTTTTTTTAATGTAATAAAAATTATTTAATTTATTTTTTTTGAAAAAATGTTTTTTACTAAAAGCTGAATGTATCGCGTTGTTTACAAGAATAACCAGGGCTGTGGAGTCGGAGTTGCGACATTTTTAGCTGAGTCGGAGTCGTTAAACAAAATCGCGACTCCGACTATAATAGTAAAACTTCTCGGTATTGCACGTGCATGTACAAAACATTTAATTAACCTTATGTTCATACTAAACCTCAAAAAAACGTTTCATAAATTTGTCAAAAAAAAAAATTTAACTTATCGCGTAATATTTTTTTAAGAATTCGAAGAATTTTTTAAAAATTTTGCATTGGAGTTGGAGTCGGAGTTGTGCTCAAAAAATTTCAACAACTGGAGTCGGAGTCGTTACTTTTTTTTTACGACTCCACACCCCTGAGAATAACCGTAACAAAAAAGTTGTCAGATTGGTATTTATTTACTTTTTTTGAGCTACTTTAAGTGATCATATAATCATGTCTGGTTTTTGTTCAATGTTCAAAAATAACATCGAACTTTGAACAAAAACCAGACCTGATTATAATATTACTAGTAACTACTAGGGTTGTTCGCTATAAACAAAAACGGTTCTAGGAAAAAAAGTTCTACTTAAAAATTAACAAAATGTAGTTATGTTTATTTCTTTATTCATTTTAAATATTTATATAAAATACTTTATTTTTCATCAAAATGTCAAGTTATGTGCTATTCCTCAAAGGTAGCGAATGTGAAGCCCTAACCCTGACGAACTGCGAACTGGTAAAATGTGAACGAGACGAATAAAAAAAATATATATTTTTAAATTACTTGATAGACTGCCTGCCCAAATCAAACCCTCCGTCGATGTAGCAGCTCCGTTGCGAGTCAGGCTATAAGATAGTAGATGTAGCAACACTCCGCGCATGTTTTACAATTAAAAAATAAAAATTTTATTTTAAATAATTTAAAATAGATAATTAAGAGTTGGAGAGTTTTTTTTTTATTATTTTATATTAAACTCGCGAAACAAATCATTTCGAAAGAATACTTGCAAAACAGTTCCTAACGGAAGGAGCGTTTCGGAATGTGCGCTTGTGGAATAAACTCGAAAGCATTTATTAAACTGTTATACAAAAAAAATGTTATTATTTATTAAAATTTATTTAATAAAATAATGTTGTTAAATAATTCTTCAATAGTTTATACATATATATCTGGTATTCATAAGGGGGCCTAACGCAGTTAAAATTTAAATAGTAAAAACTGAAACTTTGAGTTAGTTTTGAGAGAAAGGGCAACGCTGCCTCCGCAACAATGTCTCTATTTCAGTGTATATATTTATATTTATCAAGTACCGACTTTGGTTTAATTCCGACTTTCGTTGTTTATTGCCTTTGGCTTAGCAGAAATGGAGGTTTACTATTATATTCTCATATATAGAAACTTAGTAAAATATTTGTTTCCATTACAAAGTTTTTTTTCCATTACAAAGATTCTTAATATCCTTGGGAAATAATTTTATTTTTCCGGAGTTGTACGAAATCTTCCTGTTAACAACTCTACTAATTATATACTTACTACTTCCGACTTAAAAAAATCAAAACAATTTAACAAAATGGTTTTTTAAGAAAATAATAATCTAAGTAAAAACTTTTATTTGCATGCGTGTCTATATATATATATATATATATATATATATATATATATATATATATATATATATATATATATATATATATATATATATATATATATATATGAGTGAAGGAAATTAAAAACATGAATAGAAGTATGTATTTTACATTTAATCAACAATAATAACAACTAAAGTTTAGGTTATAGTATAATATAACCTATATATATTATACTATAACCTAAACTTTAGTTGTTATTATTGTTATTGTTACTTCATACTATAATATATATATAGTATGAAGTAATGAAAAAATATACGTTGTCATAATACATGAATCTTACGATTCTATACTTCTTCAAACAATTTATGATCATCAGGGTAAGAACCTCTTATGTCTGCTGTTTTTTTTATACTTTTAAAGAAGTCGTGGCATATTGGGTATTAATGGTGGTAAATTAATCAAATCTTTTTTTTCGCCTTACTTGTGGGTTATGTTGAATTATAGGATTGCTGAGGTATTAGTTGTGATAAGTTATTTTTAATTCTAGAAAGCCAACGCATTTTTTAAAAAGGTGTTTCGTCATCCAGAGGGCATTTTAAGTATACTTAAAATTCACTCTCTCATGCGTATACCTCAACCAGTGTATATTGGTCTATTTAAACAATTCATACGTGGTATCCTTGTTTTTTAGTGTCAATAAATTTCTTTTATATAATCCTAAAATGTCTAAAAGTTTGGAATGCGTAAACTCCGTCACCTTGAATTTACTTTTTTACCAACTGTCCGTACAAGTTTAGACCTATAGACATATAGCATTATTTTCAGTATTCTCCAAAATGGTCGTAATTTATAATAGAATATTCGAATACTTCACTAAAAACAAATTATTTTACCCAAAACAATTTCGATTTCAGAATAATCACTCAACTGAGCATACAATTATTGAGATAGTCAGCCAAATAACTAAAGGTTTTGACAAAAGCAAATATACTTTAGGAGTATCTATAGACTTATCTAAAGCATTCGACATAGTTGACAATTGCATTCTCTTAAAAAAAAAATTAATCACTAAGTGTTTAAATTTTTTTTAAGAAAATGATTATATATGTATTCAAAGGTGCAATATAAAATAACATTTATACCATGTTAAACATAAAAAAAAAAAGTTGGTACCAATTAAAAGGCACTTCGATAAATATCTGCATTTTTTTCTGTTTTTCAACTTATGACTAATCAATGTCGCACTCGAGATGACTATGACCACTTACCATAAATTTGTTGTCTATTGTCTCCAGCTGGTTACTCTGCATCAAACAGAGTAAAATAACAGAAACATGGAAGTTCTTTTTCTGACTTCAGCATGAATCAGAATATAAAGTTACAAATTTTACATTAAATTTCAACTGCGACAACTCATTAGATAGGCACATCCATAGTTAAGTTATATGTCCACAACTGACGTTTGTAAACAGGCTATTTCATCATCATTATTAGCCGATTTTAATTTAGTTTTGTACACTTGAGTAGATATTTGATGAAACACATTACAACCTTCATTGTCCAAACTAGCATGTATATCGTCATCTAAAAACAAAATAACAAAATGATTATGCAATACTCTTAATAAAAAATGGGATTGACTCACTTATTCATATCATAATTACCTACTATTGTGTGTTGCCAACGGCACTTGTGTGACTTTCTCATATCATCACTTTGTACAGCATCAGCGTCGATAGTACTATTTACACTATAGCTCGTTTCCTCCATTACATATATATTATCACCTTAAAATAAATTACCAGAATCAATTTGGTTGAATACAACATAAAGATAAAAAAACATTGTAAATAAACACTCGTATTTTACAAATAATTAATACTTATTTAATGTTATTTCAATTTTACATACCATTTTGTGGTTGGTTTTTTTTTAAATCCATAGCTTCTTTATGTCAAATTTGTTCACGCGAAAACTTTAGTTCCGCGTTTAAAATTTTTAACATTTTCATTGTCCTTAAATTTGTGAAAATTGTTATAAATAACGGTAACAAAAAGTTATTAACTATTTTGCGTTAAAAAACGAAAATAAGTTGATAAAAAAAAATGACTAAAAAAGTAATTTTAAAGTTATCAAACGCGTAATGTCAATGTACCGCGCATGTTCTTTGTATTGCCATAAACTAATTCAGAGAGTGGCAAAATTATTGAGAATATAAATGCGAGTATTAATATTCATTTTATAACTTACCAGCTTGCATCACTATTATACATATGAATTGTTCACAACTGTGTCGATTTTATTATTTACAAAATTACTTTATCTCTATGTTATAAAAGTAGAAATATTTCTATGTGTGACAACACCAATACGGATGTGTCATTGCAACGTGTTATAATCAGTTAGTATTCTCAATTCTCAACAGCTCAGAGTACATGTCAATATACACTGTTGGTGCCGCTCGATAAATTGAAAACTAACAATAATACAAAACAATTTGAAAATAAATTAAGTATACTATTAGTTAAGTATACTATTAGTTAAATATACTATTAGTTAAGTATACTATTAGTTACATATAATGCTTTTGTGGTTTTAAACTTGTAATCTCACTTTGTTGTTCGTTACACACGTGTAGTATCATATATACTACAAAGTTCCGTCAAAAATTTAAAAATCGATTTTTTTTTACTAATAGTGATAAAGCCATATACTATTATTTTATCTTTACAATATTTTTAATGTATTTATTTAATTGATGTTCAAGTTTCTTTAAAACTTGTCCAAAATTAGGGAGTTTAAAGTAAGTATATCTCATGGTTTTGAAGATGGAATGTGCTCTTTATGAGAAATAAGTTTATTTAGTAAATATTTTAAAGTTTTGTTCAATTAAATTCAAGGGTAAAACATTTTTTGAAGAGTTTATTTAGTTTTTATAATTTTATAAAATAAAATCTTATCTTGGCTTACCCAAAAAATATACATTAAATCAAAAATAAACAAAGCAAATGACATGATGTAGCGAATTAGCCTATTTATAAATACTCTAATTGTTAAACTAATATACTTCAGCTGATCATCCATCGGATACAGAGAGATTTCAAGACCTGAAACAGCAATGCAGTCAAAAGTCTTCTAGCAAGGTTGTGGCGAGTGAGACTTTTTATTATCATTATTATTTTTTGGTGCCCCAAGATGTCTTTACGGTCTTATCACAGAACATCGCGAAAGCACATTTGAAAGGAAGTTTACGCCCCCTTCCTTACCGATGTTGTAAAACCTGCCCGAGGTGGCGTTGACCAACGGATCTCTAGCTTCTTAGGCAAGCGCGCTAACTGCTGCGCTACGGCTTAAACGCACTTATTTAAACATAGCAGTGGACTTATGACCTCAAAATCATTAGTTCTTTATTTTTATTGCTAACTTTATTTTTAAATAGTTTAAATTTAAAAAAGATTTCTTACTTTTTGCCTTTCATTAATTAATAACGTCTTTAAATCAAGAAAAAATTGTAAAATACTGCAAATATTTACATCAAATTTTTTTATATTTAATTTTACAAGTTTTCACTAATTTGTCGGTCGATTTAACAGATATTGACATATACGGCAATGAATGCATAGCAAATAACAGGATAAAACAGTTTAAAAAATTTTTGAAAACAAATGATCATAGTTGCTGCTTAAAGTTATTATAAAAAATCTCAAAACCAAAAAAGTGTTTTTCAAATGGGGCATTCTAAAATTTGTATGATCTGCTTTGCAATACTTTAAAATTGTTTTTAACAACTGTCAAACTAATACATAAAATTTTACCCGCTAATAATAAAATAACTTGACTTTTTTTGAAAATTTCCAAAATTTTGCAACATAAATTTTGCAACCCTAATATTATACCAAAAATTATTTTATAAATTTTTTATTTCAATAAAAAATATTCAAAATGAAAGTAATCGTATTTAATAATATTGCTATAATACTTTTTAAATATAGATATATTTATCGTAGGCATTATATATATTAGATGTTTTATATTATATTTTATATGTATAATAAATATTTTACGTCAAAAGTATATTCGTATATCGTTTACTTGAAGAGAAATATAAATTTTTCTTATATAGAAAAAAACTTATGTTGGTTTTTCGTTTTTAGTAAAAGATGATATTAACAAAATAAAACACCAGGTATTTTAATTTATTTTATTACATTTTTGTTTTTTGTATTTTAATTTAACTTATGAATGACAAATAATTTTTGTTAAAGCCTTTATTAAACTTAAACATTAGGGTGGAGTGAAAAAACCTTTTTTTAGAAATTCATTTGAACTGGGTATGGAAAAGTTGCCTTTGGGTACAAAATGAACTGTGGTAAAAGCATTTTGCCCTAGATTAATATTTAGGTCTGCCCCAAGGCACTTGAAAATTTGAGTTTTTTGTTAATTTCGCAATTTTTGTTTTAAAAAATAATAATTTCCTATCATTGCAAATTCAAGTTGGCTGGGTATGCAAAAGTTGCCTTTTAGTTCAAGGTAAACTGTGGTAAAAGCATTTTGCCCTAGGTTAATTTTTAGGTCTGCCCCAAAGCTCTCGAAAATATGGGTTTTTCGTCCATTTTGTGGTTTTTGGCGAAAATTTAATAATTTCCTATAATTGCAAATTCATGTTGGCTGGGTATGCAAAAGTAGCCTTTTAGTACAAGGTAAACTGTGGTTAAAGCATTTGGCCATAGGTTAATAATTAGGTCTGCCCCAAGCCACTTGAAAATTGAGTACTTTAATTTAAATCCATACAAAACCAATTTCGTACATATTTCAGATTGTTTATAGGCATATTAAATAACATTACAAATGTATAGTATATCCAAGAACTTCACAGTTGTTTAAATCTTTACAATTGAAACTGAGACTTAGTGTTGAAAGTTTTTGTTTTTGATCTCGATTCCAGTGTGGCACGAATCATTCCATCTCTGCGGTCAAAACCGCAAACAGTAGCTGATGCTTCAGTAACAAGCTTAACGTGTCTTTCAGTTGACTGAGTGTGACATGGAAACTCTGGAATGTTTAAAACTGGTTTAGTCAATGAAACACCATTTACAAATGACTTTATTTCATGATTTAAGATGTTCTTTGTAGCAGGGGGCTCGCTTTTCTGGACAACACTCCAGTCGATTAGATTAGTGTAGTCATCTGCTTCGAAATTAAGTTTCGGCACACAAAAGCGTCTTAGTGACTGACTGTTTTTTTCCCTTGTACCAAGGATTCTTCTGAATGCCAGTTTCCTTATGTGTTTGCGCTCATCAGTCAACATTGCAAATAGGATGTTTTCGTAATGACTGAAATAAGCATTTCTCTGAATTACCTCATCCACAATACATCTTAAGTCATTTTTAAGGTACCTTGAAAAGTTTATCATTCTCCATAGATGGAGTGCCCCTTGAGTACAAGATGATTTTGTCTTGATATAAAACCAAGTAGGAGCGTAAACTTTAACAACAAATGTTGCAAGAGTCACTAGATTTTCACTTGAATCTTCCATCGAAACATATAACCGCAGAACTCTGCTTGCTGTTGTCAGCCAGCGCAAGTGAACTACAGGACCTGGAGTCTTATTTGCCAGATTTATTGGGCATTCACCATTATTCACTGCGTGGCACATTTTATATAAATACATTTGATCTGTGCTTAAATCTTTAAAGTTTACATCTGGAAAACTATTCATTTCTATAGTTGAAAAATGCTTTACAGGAAAAGTTTCACAGATTGGAAGTAATTTACCAATTGGAGCTGAGAAAGCTTTTGGTCCACTTGTGGTGCCATCTAACTTGCACAAAAGATGTCTAAAAGGGAGCTCATTTGCATGAAGCATGCAAATAAACCAATGCTGATGTTCCATTTTCAGGGCTTATGTGACCAACATATATTGAATGGGGCTCTTGAGTTAGTGTAACATTTTCTTCTGTAACTATTTTGTAATAATACTTGGAACCTTGAGTTGCATTTTTGTTTTGTCCTTCCTGCCATCGAAGTACAAACCTGTTAGATTAGAGGCAAGGTGGGATTGAAGTTCATTTCTAACCTTCTGTCTTTCTCTTTGAATTTTACTTCTATCAATAACCATTGTACTGTCACAGTCATTTACGATACCAACGTCTTGCAACACGGCACTAGCAATGGCTGCAGCAGCACGATCTGAAATGCTATGGCGATCACATTCCATTGACATATTTGGAATGTTTGCTCTCATCTGTTTTTTCTCTGCTGTTCCAGTAGTTGGAACCTTATGTATTGAGGGAAAATGGACATTAGTATCGTTGTCAGTTTCAGAATCAGAAAACGAACTGAATTCAACAATATTTGAAGACAATAAGGAGTTAGATGTAGTGGCTGTTGTTGGAGTTTTGTAAATATTGGAAAGTTTTCTTTTGCGATTATCGCCTTCTTTCAATCGGTTTGTAACAACTTTATCTATACTTCCAATCATCATATTTCTTGTACTTTTTTGATCTTCCAAAAATGGTCTTTCTGCAACTGGTACCTTAAAACTTTTCTCACAATTGCAGTGATTTATGTCCAAGCATTTGCAGACTGCGATGTCAAACAACTGGGAATTAGCTTCTGTACAAAACTTTTGCATCTTTGCTTGATAGTTAGGATCGTTCTGTCGCCTCTTTAAGGGACTGAACATAATTCGATGTTTGTCATGAAGTTCTTTTATCTTCGCTACAATCCGCTTGTGTGTTATAATTGGAATCGATGCTTTGTGCCACAATGCTTCGACTTTCGATGAAACACAACTTGAAACTTCAACAACTGAAAAGATCTCTGCAGATCTATATGTCATTTCGTCTTTAAGGAACAAGTAATATTTCATCACATCAGCATTTGTGGGAAGAACGGTCTCTGGTAAATATGAAGGATTTTCAAAAATTGGGCAATTGGTACGCAGCCGTGTCTTGTGCTTCTTACACCCACTAACACCAGCCATTCTTGTTATTTTTGTTCTGACGTCACTCACAGATGCGAGGTTGTTTGAATTTTCTAATCTAAAATAATTTTCTAATCTAAAATAATAATATAAAAATAAAATAATTAATTTCTAACATAATAATTCAAACAAAATAATGTAAATACTGAAATTTGTAGTTATAGGAAATTATTAACTTTTTTTCCGAAAACCACAAAATGCACGAAAAACGCCAATTTTCGAGTGCTTTGGGGCAGACCTAAGAATTAACCTAGGGCATAATGCTTTTACCACAGTTTACCTTGTACTAAATGGCAACTTTTGCATACCCAGCCAACTTGAATTTGCAATGATAGGAAATTATTATTTTTTAAAACAAAAATGCCGAAATTAACGAAATATTCAAATTTTCAAGTGCTTTGGGGCAGACCTAAATATTAATCTAGAGCAAAATGCTTTTACCATTGTTCATTTTGTACCCAAAGGCAACTTTTCCATACCCAGCTCAAATGAATTTCCAAAAAAAGGTTTTTTCACTCCACCCTATTAAACATCTTAATCCTTGAAACAAAAATTTGAAATAATAAAAAAAAAATTATTTTTGTTTTAAAGTTGTTTGTAATTAGTAAAAATTAAAGAGAAATAGAAGTTATTTTTTTCTATTTCTTTAAAACAAGTGACTTAAAATTAAAAGAGATTTGATGAATTAAAGATAAGCAAGAAGTAAATATAAACAAGGCGAACAAGATAAACAAGGCGCTAACTTCTCATTTCATCATACCGAATGTAGGTGGTTCAGAACGCAAGAATTTATTATAGGTCAGCGATGCAATCTATTAAATTCTTTTAGTGAGAAAATTATGAATTTTCCAATATTTATGTATTATACACTACTAATCAGCGGCCAATGGAAACTTGTTAAGGTAATTTAAATTGTCTGGGTCACATTTGAAAAATTATAAAAATAAAACATCGATATATATTAAATTTTTTTTCATATAAACTACTTTCTGTTTCGCAATTTATTTGAAGACATAGATAATTTAAGATCAAAGTAGATAAAAGCGTCACTCGAATATGAACCTAAGATAACTGGAGTTAAAGTTTTAAACACATTTTTTTCTATAAAGCAAAGAAATTTATGGAACAATTTAGTAATCAAAATAGCATGAATGGATGAATGAATGTAAAGTCTATTAGCACCTCTATCCATGTTGAGTATTATGTTACATTACATAAAATCAATGCTATGTATTGTAATATATCTTCTTCATCCACTGAAGGAGTAATAATACACATCAATTCACCCAAAAATAGTATATTTATAGCAGATTTTTGTGCGGTGTTATTAAGTTCATTTGAAAAAGAATTACTTACATGTAGGCCAAAATTTGCGATTATGTTAATCTTGAAAAACTTTTGAACATATACTATGCAATTTTTGGCTCATCTAAGATTTGCATGCTAAGTTTGGTGGTAGTCCCATTAACAAGTTCTAATTAAGTCATGCCACCTCCAAAACAAGGCCTTAAAAATTATTTATTTCCAGAATATTAACTTTTTTTCTAATGTGCTCTACCTAAATTCTTAAGTATTAAAACTATGTGACTATATTCAACTCTTAAACTGTCAATTTGTCTTGAACCACCAACAAAATACCTCAACAATCATACTTTTTCTTTGTTTTAATAACCTTGGGGATAAAATATTCGTAATCAATACAATTGTTAGAAATTAATAAAATGAAATATTTAAACGGTTTTGAAAATAAAACTCCTTATATGATCCTAAAGCGGGCCTTAGTATTATTACCTAATATAGCATTAGAACCTACCATTAAATTTCATCAATTTCATTTCCAAAATAATCACTCGTTATCACTTTCGTTCCAATAGTAATTTAAATCTGTCAGTCTCTAAACACCGCTCTCATAATTACGAGCATAAATCTATAAAATATCAAAGCATTAAAACTTGGAACAACCTACCTTATAAACTGAAAACTCTTAATTCATTCTCAACCTTTAAAAACAGTTTTTTCTACATTTTATTAAAAAAATATAGTTAATATTTATAATTTCTATAATCAATTTCTGTTGTCTTTATTACTGTTTCAATAAAACACGTTTTATTATTACTGTTATCAATAAAACACCTTAGATATTTCTAATTTCTATGGTAATTTTTATTGTCATTACTATTGCCTATGGTTATTTTTATAATTATTTACACTACTTTTAACTATTATTACTAATATTAATATTGTTATTACTATTATAGTAATTAATATTGTTATTATTGTGTATTGTTGTTATAATAATAATTATTTTTATTACTGTCCTTATTATTGTTGTTATATTATTATTGTTATGTTATTATAGTGTAACTTTCCATAACTACTGCTATTGTTGATATCTATGTTATATTTTTTGTTGTTTTTATCAGTATTTTTACTATTATTAAACATGACAGGTGTTTACGTCATATTAGTACTCATTATTGCAGTAGTGTAGCGACAAAAAATAGGCCTCCCCGCTTTAATATGGGCCACTAAATTACTTCCCTGTCAAAATGTTTTGCGCCATTGTTGTCCATAAATGTGTTTTAATGTGCTTAAGGATCTTTTTGCAGGTGCTACGCTAATGAGTAATGTTAAATATACAAAAATGCTGCTATCATATTTTTAAATGAGCAACTTTTATCATAATATGTTATTGTGGACACGGGTAAAATGCGGGAAAAAAGTGCGGAAAATTTCTGTTAACCCTAAGCTTATTGCTGCTCCAGCCAAAAAACTTAGTCAATGATGGTAGATTTAATCTTCTTAATGTTTTGCAGTATTAAAGATGTCTTAAGCTGAAAGTCCATTTTGTTGCTTTGCGTTGAATAAATTTAACCAAGGTTTTATCAGTTTAGAAGCCCGAATAGAGGCTGTTTATTTATGGTCTAATGAACACTTTATATAACTTAAGAGCCATTTTTTCTTCAATGAAAACGAATGTCTTTTTGCAAACCAAGAATTTGTAAGGACTTTGAGACAACTGTTCAAAAGTGTGAGCTCCACTTTTGCGTTACATAAAATAATGACTCCTAAATTACGCATTTTAGTAGAACATTTTAGGGATTGATTTATTATAACTTTTATTTTGTTCCCATTTATTCCGAAATATCTTACTTTTAACAAATCTGTTTTGAGGTAGAGAATCGACGATTTGTCGAAATCGAGATTGCATCAATAAATTGGTCAAATACTATAGAAGATGAAATAATATCAAGTGTCCCTATTAGATTAGTCACGCATAATTTATGGTAAAGAAAACCATGTTGATTTGCAGAGGGCATTTTATTATCGTTAATGTGTTTAAAGTATTTTGACTATTTTGCAGGCAACAGAGTTTAGTTAAATAGGTCGAAAGTTTTCAGCAAGTAATTTATCGTCCGTTTTTTTATAGACCGAACTAAAATTTGCAAATTTCTAGAGCGTGAACAGTATTCCAGAATTAAAGAATTTATGAAAGATTTTTGTAAATGAAAAAAATATTAATGGGGTTTAGATTGGCAAGTTAATAATGCCTGAAATAGAAAAATCCAAGTTGTCATTATAAGTTCATTCAGGTTAGTATCACTTATTTAACGATATATGTTATTGAGAGGGATATTAATATTATTTCTTTTTTATGTGCTTTGTTTGCTTTAAATATTTCAACTTTTACAGAACGATTAGAAAGATAGTAGTTTATTTTAAGTTTATTATTCTTCCATTTAGTTGAGGAGTTAATTTACAAAGCGGATTTTTTTGCGCGGTTTTTAAATAATTTAACTCAATAAATAAAATAATTTATTATTGATTAAAATAATTTTGTTTTTCTTTATTATTTATTGTTTATTGATCAGTCCACTAGGTTCCACAAAGCATGATAACATGCATCTGATTATAGGTATTTCTTCAACTCATCAAACTTATTTTCCAATGGTATTTGTGTAAAAACAGTTAAATTTTTTTTACTCTACTTTTACTATTAATAATTCATATTTGTTTTAATTGGATCATAATTGTTTTACTATTAAACAACTCAAACGGTTAAACTTCTTAAATGTATTGTAAACATTTTCGATCCGTTATGCAAAAGTACTATTTCTGAATACTATAATGATTCTGATGTAAAATGAGTAACTCAACGATCGTATTTTTTCTTTGTTTTATTAACCTTTGGGATAAAATATTTGCAATCTTTGCAGAATATTAAAATTGTTAGAAATTAATAAATAAACATTTGATTCACGGTTTTATGGAGAAATAAAATATTCTAGTTGACTGATGAAAGTTTGATATCGTAATCATCTTTGCTGTAACTAAACAACTGAAATTCACTTTCGGGAAACAGTTTTGAAAATAAAATTCCTCAAGTGATACTAAAGCGGCCTTTAGTATAATTACCTAATATAGCATAGAGAATAATTTTAAAAAATAGTCTGAAAAAGAGCTTGCTTTATAATAATAGCAAAAATTGCTAATGTTGCTATTTTTATATACATGCATATTATTTTTAAAAATGACAACTTTAAAAAAAAAATTTGAAAATTTTGGCTCGGGCCCCTATTAACTCTGGACCGTCCCGCGGTAGCAAGCCCTATGAGCCCTTTGCTACGCCACTGCATTATTATTTGTAAATATCCTTGATAAAAGAACTTTTATTCAGAAATATATTTGATATGGTTTTGATTTGATTTTTGATTTGATTTTATAACACTATGTAAAAAGGTAGAAACTTATGGCTGTAGTAAAGAATAAAAAACTTAAATACAGTTTTTTATTCTTTACTAAAGCCATATACACCAGTATAGCAGAGCACGTTTTAGACGTCAAAAGATATGTCTTAAAAACCTCTATTAGACTTTTAAAATATTTTTTACTTTTGATAGGCAAAACGTATTCTCCATTTTTTCACTTTTTTTAAAGTCATTTATTTATACACATATTTATGATACAAAATTTATAAAGGTAATCAGTCTAATCAGTCCCTAATCAGTCTAGTACTGAAATTATATTGACAATAAATGTGCATCAGATTTTTCTAACTAAAATGTGATATTATGGTTGTTGTTACTTTTTCTCTAGTAATTTTTTGTTATTATATTGATTGTACTTTAAAGTTACCTTATATTTTTTACATTTAAATTGATATAAAACCACAAAATGTAAACTTTGTGGTTTTATATCAATTTAAAGGTCTTCAATTGGACAAGACTCCGATTTGAAAAAATGAAATACCCACAAACTATTATTACTGTTATGATTGCAGTTGCTTAAACAAAACATAATGAACTTTAGAGCCCTGCAACATCAAATATGGTATAATTGTAACTTAAAGCTGAGATAATATTACAATTAGAATTAAATGAAAAACCCCATATTCTCCTCTAAAATAGAGTATTCCTCTAAAAAGTTTAGTTTTCCTCCAAGTACAACAAGTTTCATGTGACATAAAAACTGAAACACAAGTTTTATAATAGGTAATTTTTGGTAATTGGATAAAGTTTTTTAAGAAGAACATCAAAAGATGGGTAATAAGCTACAGTTTTCTTTAACAGCTGAGTTGCACATGCAAGTTGAGTCAAAAAAACTTCAAATTGGATGTAATAAGCTCGTTAGACAGCCTACAAAGTATGTTAAGGTCAATTAGTTCACCAAGTATGAGACATAAGCAATACTACAGTAGTTATTCAAAACACAAACATCAAGTTTAGGTTTTGGTATTGGAAATACAACAAAGCTCTTTTAGCTGTTTTAAAACAAAACTGTAAATGAACATTGCTAAAAACAGCATCGATAAAAGCAAAAGCAAAGACTCAGAAACATTTTTGGTGCAATTGGATGAGAACAACCCCTTGCTCTCCAAATCGCCAGCCTTAAATTATTGAACAACGTTATAAATATATAAACTCTTCTAACAATAAAATAATCATCAGACAACTTCAATTAATTACAGTGTAATACTTTTACAGTCTTATATTAGAGTTATTTACTCTTCTTTGAAGAGAGTTGACGAATATAATTTTGCATAAGATTCAACAAATGAATGCTGATTCATACAGTGAGTTATTGTAATCAAAATGTATTGGAGCGTTTTTACCAAAAATTCATGTTTTTAACTTCTTCCCAAAAATAACTTTTATCATTTTGAATTAAACACTCCGTAAATTAAAGTCTAGAAGTGTGCGTGTATTTGTGTGTGTGTGTATGTGTGTGTGTGTGTGTGTGTGTGTGTGTGTATATGTGTGTATGTACGAATAACTTTAAATGTAATCTACAAAATAGAGTACTCTGTTCTGAAAAGAACAACAAATAATAAATTAGTAGAAAAAATAAAGCATTCAGGAAAATTTTTTACTTTTTAATATATATATATATATATATATATATATATATATATATATATATATATATATACATATATATATATATATATATATATATATATATATATATATATATATATATATATATATATATATATATATATATGTATATATATATATATATATATATATATATATATATATATATATATATATATATATATATATATATATATATATATATATATATATATATATATATGTATATATATATATATATATATATATATATATATATATATATATATATATATATAAATATATATATTCTACAAATAATAGAGTGCTCAATGTTCTTAAAGAACAGAGCAATGATAAATTAGTAAAAAACTCTTATCTAATTTTATCTTTAACAACTTGTTTCTCCGTCAGTAGGTTGATTGGAAGAATCTTCCTTAATTCAGGAAGGTTCTTCCTGAAAAAGAAGTTGTTGAAGAAAAGATTAGATAAGTGTTTTTTTACTAATTTGCATCTATAAACTCTTTTAAAGTCAGGTTCAGGATCAATGCATAATTAAAGCGCATACTTCATTGCACTTATCCATTGCCAGGTCGTCAACATTAATACTGTAAAAATCTCAGTTGAAATGTTTAGCAACTTAAGAGCATCGATTATGTTAGGATCTTTTAGTTCATTTTCAATTTGTATTCGCTTTTTTAGATAGTCCTGAAGCTTGAAGTCTAGTATTTTTATTTAAATATTGACCAGTTGTTTCTACAAGGGTATTTATTTACTTATTATTATTAAACTTGTTATTAGTTATAGAGTTTGAGTAGTTATTAGTTATTATTATTAAAGTTGTTATTAGTTATAGAGTTTCTTATTTTAGATGAACTACAGAGTTGTGAAAAATTCATAATCAATGATAAACTTTTTTGTAAATTTCTTTATCTTTTTTTATTGGAAGACAAAAAACATTACATAACATTCTATTACAGAAAATAAATCTAATCTAACCATAATATTGGCATCGCAGCGGTGTCTAAGAAATGTATTAATTCTATAGGCCTGGCATGGTATAAATGGAATTAAGCTATTAAGAATATCAGATCAATTTTCTTGTATACCATTTATTTTTCCAGACATACTACTATACGTTTTATATGAAACATACATATCATATATATGTTTTATATCAAACATACATATCATATATATGTTTTCTTTCATCGTCAAGTATGCTATTACATACAAGACTTAACAATTTTGTTCTCCTTTTTTTATTTATTTATATTCATTATAACTTCTAACAATAAAAGCATTTTAAATATATAAAAGTATTTGTAAATTTTATAAATAAATTCACAAATACTTTTATATATATATATATTTATTTATCTAGTCCCATTTATATAGTTTTTAAAGCACCTAGAATTTTTTTTTTATAAGAAACATATTTTTGTTGATCCTAAAAAGTCTTAATCAATGGACTTTAGTTCATTTTAAAATGAATAACTTAACAAATGGACTTTAGTCCTTTGATTAAAACTTTAAAATTTTGTTCAATGGACTTTAGTCCTTTTTAAAATGAATAGCTCAACAAATGGACTTTAGTCCTTTGATTAAAACTTTAAAATTTTAATCAATGGACTTTAGTCCTTTTTAAAATGAATAGCTTAACAAATGGACTTTAGTCCTTTGATTAAAACTTTTGAATAAAACTGAAAGGAATGGCTCAACAAACGGACTTGTTTCTTTTCGAAATAACGGGCTCAGTAAATGAATTTGTGTCGTTTTTAAAATGAAGCTCTCAATACATGAACTTGTGTCTTTTTGATGTCGGAAATGACGAATTTAATTCCTTGTCATGTATTCTGTTAATTAAAGTTTAAATGAGAAAAAAAAAAAGAAAAAAATTAGGAAAATAGGTAAACTCTTTGTACTTTATTGTCTTTTTTTTAATTTTTTTTTGGTCTTGCTTTTTATTTAGTTCTAATCTTCTTTTTAAATGTTTCTTGTCTATTTTTTGTTAGTTATTTAAAATTTTTAACAATAAAATTCTCCATCACAGAATAATATGGACATGGGAAAAGAACGCGTGCAACGATGTGGTGATAGAGCGCAAAGAATCTTATCCCCTCGTGACATACAACAAATAAAAGATCTATTCACGAAAAGATATACAGGAAAGGCATGTCAATGAGAAATTTATGAAAACGTATATTTTAGCTATTCTTATATTTGACCGTATTTTAACTTTGTTATTCTATAAATAATATTTTGTGGTTCATTTCCGTTAGAAATTCAAAAAAAGTAATCTTAATTTTATTATTAATAATTGAGGAGCCTATCTGCAAAATCCATGTAAATTAATTTTGAGAACAAAAAACCAAACTACTCTTTTTTTTTAAATAAATGATAGATTTCAGTAAATAAAATTAAGAAATGGAATTAACTCCAAGTTTTGATTTTTGTGCGTTTTCAGATGGGCTTCCCAATTGTTGTTAATTAATATATAAATCAAGTTTCACGTTTTTTAAAGATTTATGCGGTCACTCATCTAAATGGTTAAACTTTTATTTTTAATTTATTTTTAAACTTTTGTTTAGTTGAGTTTTATGGGAGAATATCCGATAGGATTAACTGCGTGTCAACTGGATCCATTGCCGCCTTTTCAAAATATGTATGGCTGGGTTCCGGTTGCAGTTAGTCCAAAAGATTTTATTTCATCAATTATGTGCGGTAGTTGTCTCAAAATAAGTCCAAGATATGAAATTAAACGAAGTAGGTTTTCTTATGACGCTGACAAGACATATTTTGCGACTGTGGTCGACGAGTGTTTGCATTGCAATATAGGTATGTACTGCTTAGGGTCGTACCTACAACATGTGTGATAACCAAAGATGGAGTTTGAATGTTATTAAATTTTATACTAATTTGTGTAAAACTGAAAAAACTGTTTGGATTTTTTTTTTTTTTTTTTAACGTCGACATTTTCTAAATGTTAAAATTTCCTAAATATCAAATACGACGCTGATTTTTCCTCCCAATTCGTCAATATATAGCTCCTTGTTGCCAACTTGTTGAAAACTATGTAAAGTATTTTTTTATTTTTTTTTCCCAATTGAAAAGTCACAAAAACTTTATTAATAAAAACACTCTTAGTAGGAACGGCTCTGTTTAATTTTTTTGTTTATACACGAATCTGTAAACTCAAGTTGTTTTAAATAAAATGTATTAGGAGATATACGAATGTACAAGGATGGGGACGGTATACATGATGTCATTTATGAAGCAATAGAATGTCCGCCATTAACCGGATCCAATGGAATGTTAAGAGTTAAAATAAGTAATTGTGCGAATAAAAACGGAAGAACTGAAATTCAACTAAAAAATACAAGGTATGCTTTCCGTACGTAAAACGTTATTACTTAACAGGAATAGCTAGTTATGCTAAATAAATGCTTACATTGAATATCGAATACCACCTAACTGACGTAACTCTTCTGTGAATGTAAGATAAATACGTGGTTATTTTTAGAAATAATACGAAATTTTTAAGGAGTTTTTTTTTGTATTTTTTTTGTATTTTTTGTTTCTTACTTTTTCACCATAAATAAGTATGTGCTATATATACAAAAAAGTAAAACAAGAAAACTAAATAAATTTGATTAAAATGTTAATCATGCAAGGATTAACTATTTAATTAAAAACTTTGTCTGTTAATTAAAAAAAATTAGATTAATGATATAATGTGTTAAAATTTTATTATTTTTTTGTTTTTTCAAATTATTAACTTGGAACAAAAGTATTAGATTTGATATATAAATTATTAGATTGGTATAATTAATCCAAAATTAAATATAGTTTAAACTAATAAATTAATAAAATACAAAACATTGTTTAGGTTGCCTATTGTTGCCATAGAATTGTTTCAAGACGAAGCTTGGAACTGTTTAGATAGAACATCAAACAACTTTTACCGTCTTCCAAACAATAATTTAAACTCGTTTCCTATAAAGGCAAGAGCTACATCCATTACTGGCGAACTTCTAGGTTTTACAATAGAAAACTCAACAGAACAGATTATTCCAGCACAGTTTTTGTCTATGTATTCAAGTAATTTTTCAATTAGTTTTTTTTTTTTATCAAGCAATAAAAAAGTCCTACATTTAGTCTCTACAAATCTGGACACCCTGAACCATCTGCAGCTGCAGCGATTTTGAAAACTTCATGTTTTATTGCAGCGGTATTTAGAATTTTTATATAATTTTCCATGTGGTCAGAACATTCAAAGTAACTATATGAACACTTTTACTTTTTTCATCATTCAAAAAACTATTAAATGTTCTTTTCAAACGGCTGCTATTTTTTTTTGTTGAACCTCTCTTCTTATAATTTTCGATCCTTTACAAATTGATCTTTCTCCCTTATTTTTTCGCTTTAATTAAAAATGCTTTAACTTTATAAATAGAATCTTTATTGATTTATTACTTTTACTTTGTGAACTTTTTTTATTACGTACAAAATTGCACATTTATGGTAAGTCAATATCTTGACATCATTTTGTTTTCAATATTTTTCATTTTAATTTTTTTGCGAATATAACTAAGTATGATTATATTTTTTTTTTTTTTTTGTAAATGGAGTTATGTGTAAAATTTAAGGGGAGAAACTGAGCTTGCTTTTTGCGATTGTTTGACATCCTCCTATTTTGTCTCTTTAACTAAGTCATCTTTATTGTTATAGAATATTTAAAAAGTAATACTTGTTTATTAATATTCATATCCACTTTGTTAATAGTAGATGTTATAGAGTTATCAGTTTTTCACAATTTATCTAAAAGCTCAAAACTTTTTATCTAAAAGCTCAAAACTTTAAACTTTTTATAATTTTTTGATGGAGCGATTTTTGCCCGTCAAAATTTTCAAATTCCACTTAGATTTTTACTTACGTATAGCCCTGTACTTTCTTGTTTGCTTTAACATGTTAACTTAAATGCATAAATACAATATCTTTGTACTCAAGCTTTCCGCTAAAACCCATTTTTGGATATATATTTCAAACATTATATCTAATGTTATAAAATTCTTAAATTATTTAGAATTGTTTTTTTCTAGTGAACCAAAATTTCTCACCAAAGTTGAAATGTTTTGTACCGCTTGAAGAGAATTCTGATCAAATGCCAGAAGATTTTCTTTCCAATGTACCTACATATAAAAATCCAAATGAACGCAAAAAAATTTTTAAGGGTATATTTTCAAAAGTATTATTTATATTTTGAATGTCTTTTATATTATTCATATATATATACATATATAATTATATATATATCAGTGGCGTAACTAGGGAGGAGCATAACCCCGCAATGCGGGGGGCCCCGGAGCTTAGAGGGCCCCGGGGAGATTTACAAATTTTACTTATATGAATAATATGACTGGTAATGATAATATGAGTGTTACTAATTTCTGTTTTATCAAATACATATTATGAATTTATAATTTTTTACGTATCCCTACGGGCATTTTTGGAGAAAAAATAATGAAAAAATTTAAGGAGGGTCCCTTTACTTTTTTGGCGGGGGGCCCCAAATTTATAGTTACGCCACTGATATATATATATATATATATATATATATATATATATATATATATATATATATAAATATATATATATATATATATATATATATATATATATACATATATATATATAAATATATATATATATATATATATATATATATATATATACATATATATATATATATATATATATATATATATATATATATATATATATATATATATATATATATATATATATATATATATATATATATATATATATATATATATATATATATATATATTTATATATATATATATATATATATATATATATATATATATATATATATATATATATATATATATGTATATATATATATATGTATACATATATATATATATATATATATATATATATATATATATTATATATATATATATATATATATATATATATATATATATATATATATATATATATATATATATGTATATATATATATATATATGTATATATATATATATTTTTATATATATATATATATATATATATATATATATATACATATATATATATATATATATATATATATATATATATATATATATATATATATATATATATATATATATATATATATATATATATATATATATATATATATATATATTAAAGTACAAGGAGCAATAAATCTTTGATTTAAATCTCCTTGCATTTTCAGTCATATTGCAGACAAAATTGTACATAGAATTGACTTGCTAAGATAAGTTTAGATTTGTTGAACGCTATTTTTAAATTTAACCAATGTTTCAATAACACAACCTTTTTTGCTATTCACTGCTCTTTTTTTTAAAGTTTTCAATGTTATTCTAGTAGTGTTTGCAATATGATTTCAGTAATATTTTTAATCTTTTTTAACTTTTTAGAATCACACTGTGATAAATGTAGATAATATTACTTATTGTTAAAAAAAGTTTACACTAGCAAAGTAAACTTTCATCGAGGAGATATGCAACTATTAGGGTTCTGACTTTCAACTATTTTGTTATTAAAGGCTATATTTATTGTACAAATAAAGTTCTCTAACGTACGTGAAAAAAAAAGGTTAAATAAAGCTATTCAGTAAGGAAAACATCTGCCATGTTGGAATCAAGATTTGGTACCTTTCTATTGAAGTTGACGTATTCCATGTGATTTTCATTAAGTTGAGGTCAATTACGAAAGCTGAATGTTTCTAGGGATGAAATTTAAGTCTCACTAACCATTAAATGTAAATGCTCGCTATCGTTTTCTTGCAATAAAAAACAATATTAGTGTAACTTGTCATTTCTTGATTGCTCATTTTTAGAACCTTTTCTTCTTCCTTTCTAAATATATTTAATGTACAAACTTACTTAATTAGTCATAATTTAGTCACAAAAAATAAGAAAATAAAATCTCAAACAGGTAAAACTTGTTTGAGAATTATTGTAATTAAAATATTTTTGATAATATTTCGTATTTAAAACAATAGTTAATTCTTTTTAAAACATTACAATAAATTGTTGTAATAAAAAAATAATAATAATAAACTATTTACAATTGTGTTAATTCGTTTTGTGTTTCAAGTTGTTAGATTTTTTTGTACAGGATTAAAAAGCTTAATTGGAAAGTTTGCTCAAACCAACCTTTCAACTGAAGCCGTACTTAAGTTAATGGAAAAGAGTTCTTCTAAAGAAATTGAAATTCAATCCGACAAAGAAAAAACATCAAATGAAAATGAAACTTTTCCTCGCAAAAACTTTTCAACGTCAAGTACTATTCTTTTAAAAGAAATAAACCAGTCTCATTTTAAAAAACACCCTTTATTAAACTCCTCATACTGCAGCCATAGAATAGACGGTCAATACCCATATCCAGATGATTGTTATTCCTTTGTCGTATGCACCAATGGCTCACCTATAATAAAAGTGTGTCCGGCAGGTTTATTGTTTAATTCAGAAGAAACTGTTTGTGATTGGCCAGCTAATGTAAAATGTATAGAAGGGGAATTTGTAAAGAAATTGCAACTTTTAAGCGACGAGGATATATTTACTAAAAAATTCTTTGGAAAAAAATAATATTTAAATTAAAACAACCCCCAGTTTTAAAATCTTAAGGAACGTTTTACTCTGGTCTGAGTAAATTTGTGCAAGTAGCAGTGTGCAAGTAGCAGTGATATGTTTTATGAAGATTTTGTTGTAGATATTGTAGCTGAGCAATACTTAGCCAAACACATTACAAAAAACTTCTGCTTTTATTTTTAGCATCTAAACTTCATGAAAACCTATTCCTCAAGAAACAAATTTAATCAAAATTCAAAAACCTACAAAAACAAATATATACATCATAAATATAAGGTAAAGATCACGTAAAGAATAAATCATTCAAAGATTACGTAAAGAATAAATAGTTCAAAGACCAAAAAATATATACGGTTGTTCAAGGCAAACAAAATGAACTTAAAATGCAATTTAAAAATGGTCAGTGTAAGAAAAATTTATATCGCAGAATAGTTTATATCATTGCGCTGTAATGAAAATATTTACAAGCAGCAACACAATTTTTTTAATTTTTTGATATTGTGGTAAATGCTGTTTTTTTGTAAACGTTTTTATACTAGTATAATTTATTTTTTATTAACTACTTATCTAAGTTGTCCATCTGAATCTCTAAGAAAAGTTGTTTACATAAGTTTTTTTTATGTGTGTAAAAAAATTATTTTACTATTATTACTACTGTTTGTTTGTCTAAAAATTACTTTTTGTATCTGAGATTTTTCCAATTGATTTTTTTACTTCAAACATGAATACATTTGCAAAAAATTTCATATTTTTTGGGCAAATTTGTGTGACTTCTTTCGAAAAACATTCAAAGATCTTAGCAAAGACATCTCAAAATTTTAAATAAATATTGTTCTAGTTTTTTGCATTTTTACTCTTTTTAAGTAGATAAATCGAAATAAAATGAATACCTGAAATAAAAAGAACTTTTTGAATTTTTTTCATATTTCGAAGCACCATAGAATTTCTCAATGTGCTTAAATTAAAGTCAAATTACTAACATTATGCACCAAACATTTTTTTTTTCTAAATTTTTATTCTTAACTTTTTTAATCTTCGATTTGTAATTATTTAATTAATTATGAAAATTAATTATTATATAAGATTTTTTAATTTTATAAAAAATCACACTATAACAAAAGAAAACAAAAACATCAGAAGATTTGGCAATGTTCGAAAACCAAAAATTATCAAAGTTATTTAAACAAATATTCAAAGAAGATATGGTCGCACGAACTATTGAATATTCGAAGAAGACATGGTCATTCAGAGTTGCCAAAAGATACAATAACCTTTTTAAGACCATCTAAAGTTGGTACTGTAGATATAAAGTAGATAAAAAAAAATATTCCCCTTTTTTATTTACTGTTCTTTCTTTTAAGCCGTATAAAAATATATGATAGGATGCAAATCATGATAAAGATACTTAAGAGCTCTTGAAGTTCTGGTATGCTTTAGATCCGGTGCTAATACTGAAAATCATGCGGTACTTTCAGATATTGCGATATCTACCAAACAATTTAACATTTGAATATATTATGCTTTCATACTTGCAAGACAGTTATTGATCTGCGCAATAAAAATTACTGTTTAAGACGGACACCTATTTAATTTATAGGGTACCGCTGAAATAACTAAAAGTTAACACATTTTGTCTTTTCTTGCTTTCAATGATGCAAAATCGTCAATAATTTTAACAAAGTTCATTTTGGAAAACTTTTAAATGTTTAGGCAGTTGTTAGAGAGCTTGCTTTAGAAGCAAGAGATCTAGGTTTTAAATCATATTTTGCGCCATCAGTAAGGAAGAAGGCGTGAAACTCCTAGTTAAATGCCCTTCCACGGTGCTCTATAACCAGACCGTTATGATTTTTAATATCTTGTCCGCAGAAAATTTTTAAACATAAAGAATTATTTATTGGCTTTAGTATATCTTGTAGCCAGTTGCCGCAAGAAAATGCTACTACATCGTCTTATGGTTTGACAAGGGACAGCAATCTTAAAAGGTCTCCACTGACGAGAGCGCAATAATCGAAATATTTTATTTTAATCGAAATAATATTATTTTAGCCCATATATATATATATATATATATATATATATATATATATATATATATATATATATATATATATATATATATATATATATATATATATGTATATATATATATATATATATATATATATATATATATATATATATAAATATATATATATATATATATATATATATATATATATATATATATATATATATATATATATATATATATATATATATATATATATATAATATATATATATATATATATATATATATATATATATATATATATATATATATATATATATATATATATATATATATGTATATATATATATATATATATATATATATATATATATATATATATATATATATATATATATATGTAACAAAATAAAAAAAATACTTTAAAGCTAATTACGCTTTTACATGCGGCATTAAGCTCCAGCTGTATTCTTATGTCAACAAATAGTAAATGACTAGTAAAGTACCAAAAAAGGACTGTTAAGATTGTTGCAAAAACACACCAATTGCTCAGTTCTTATTAGATTATAAAACAATTTTTAATTCTTTTTTGGTACATCCGCAGTATAGTATAAAGATACAATATGCAAAAAAAAATCCATTAAATTTAAATTACAATATTTTATAACATTTGACCCATAGAGCACTTAGTGTGCTAAAACATTTCTCCTCCTGCATGTCTTGTGAATGACAGTGTAGTCCCACACAGAGATCACAAGAAATCTAGTTCATTCTGCCTATTCCAGAACATTTGTGACATGGAATGTCATTCACAATAGAGATTTTTCCTAGTAGGTTAAAAGTGAACTAACTCAACACAGTTGATTGTCATCAGCGCTCAATCAAAACCCCCTATAGCTTGGTTTATAAGCCTAAACTCAATTTCTGCAAACACAGCATCAGAATTAGGGTCAGTAATAAATCTCAATTGATCGACATTGAAGATCTGCTCAGGACGCTGCTTCACGCCAGCTTTGGTGAGCTCTTTATCCACTAAATTAAACTTGTCTTTTGCAACCTGAGGATCTTGAGCCCTGGCTTAAGGAGAACTGTTTTATTCTGTTTTCTTACAGCTGAAGATGCCATATCATAAAGTGACTTAATGACTTAAGCTAACCTCTTCTAGGATGTTCATTGACAAATGGTGTTCATCTGGTAGTTTTAATACAGAATTCCTAGACAATATCCAGCAGTTCAGTCTTAGTAAAGCCCCATCCTCATTCTGCTGAGAGTTTCAGGCTCTTAACCAGTTCAAGCTCATCCTTAAGAGAGAGAGAGCTGTTATCTTACCAACTTGAGCATCAGCTGGAATTTCTATTCTGGCTCTTTTTAACAGTGTCTTTTATCTACTTTAAAATATTTTGCTACATGGCATACTGACATCCCCTTTTTCAAGACAGAGTTAAAGGCGTCAAGTTCAAGGCGTCAAGTTCAAGACAGAGTTGAAGAGTGGTAGAAAAAACTTGGCAGTTTTTTCTACCACCCACTTTTTTGTTTCTGTAATGTCTCACCATCTGAAATAAAAGAATAATAGCACAAGGCATTTGAATATTTTAACCTGCTTAATGATACAATCTCATACTTCATAAAAATACAAGTTTTTTTTTCTTACGAACTGTTTATTTTATTTTCTAGAGTAGAAAAATAAATTGACTGTTGAAAATACCCTTAGCATTAGGCTCCACTCATTTTTGAAACTTTGGCAAATTGTTACTCAGGGATAAACTTATTTTATACACTGTTCCCTTAGTTTTAAAGAGTGTTTTAAGCAAAGAAATTTATAATCATTTTCCAACATTGCATGTTGCAATTAAAAGAATGCAGTAAAAAATAAAATAATTTTATAATTTAAACTATAAAAACTGTAATCATCTTTTGGTGAGAGGATTGTAAAGTGCTCAAAACATTTTACTATAATAGCTTATTACTAAAATACAAAAATGATATTCAAAAATTTGGAGCATAATGAAAAATAAAAAAATTATGAATTTAATAATTTCTAAAAAGTTTAATCATTGACAGTCATTATAAATGACTGTGATACTATTGACGACAATTGAATTGATTATTTTAGAAACCCGTCAAACGCCAAAATTAAAAAAAATGAGATAGGTTCAATTTATTATTCTTTAAAGATAGACACATCGTTTTGTGCAGAAACCTAGCTATTAAATTTATGGTCAAATAGTGTGTTAAGTGCAGAAACCCGTCAAGTGAACCGTCACTTGACGGGTTTCTGCGATAAACTGTGGGAATTTGTATTCTGATGTATTTATAAATTGTATTTATTATTAATCGAGCTAGAATTCCGTTTTCTTTTTCCATTTAATATTGTATTAACATGTTTTTGTTGTTAATATTATCTTTGACAATACAATTATTTGATATTACTTGATCAAAAGTGTGCTAAAACACGTGTTAGTGATTCAATGTTTTGTAATATTATATTTATTTTTAATGGTCTTTATTAAGGTGAAAAATAATGTCTAGTACAGAAGAAGACAAACCTCAACTTAAACAGAGACGTGGAGTGGTTCATGAGGAAAATTACCAACGCAATAAAATACGTAGTGCCAGAGTTAAAGTTGAGGCTACAACAATAACAAATTTACAGCAAAATTAAACCACAGTGTATTTTATGTAAATGTAATTTTAAATGCTCTTCAATTATTAACAAATTAGTAATAGATCAAACATGGGATAATTTTTTTTCGCTAGAAAATAAAAAAATACAGGATACCTACATATAAACTTTGATTGAGGTTAAAGATGTTCAACGTAGACGTAAAAAAAACGTAGGAAACAATGTAGACTGTGAGAATTTTGTCGACGAATCTGTAGATAAAAACGTTCATATTCTACCTTTTAAGAGGAATCACTCATATTTGTACAATCTTAAGATAAATGGTATATTAAAACCTGTGTGCAAAAGTCTTTTTATGGAAATTCATGGAATTTCATGCGATAGGTTAGAGAGGATTTGTCATTTGCGGCTTCAGAATAAAACTCCGATTGATAAAAGGGGCAAGAGCAGGAGTGGTAATCTCAAACCTAGAGAGATATCGGTACGCATTCATAACCACATATCTAAATTTGAAGTGAAAGAGATACACTATAGTGGGAAACCTAAAAAGTACTTAGATGCCCGGTTAACTATTTAGAAAATGTACGGCATATTTATCATTGACAATCAGGACCTAAGATAAACACAACTTTTTCTACAATAATTTTAAGAACAACTCTGAATATTCTTTTGGCCGGCCTCAGGTAGATGTGTGTAGTACTTGCAAAAATCTTAACTCTAAGTTAAAAGATAATTTTTTAAATGATAACGCTAAACGCGCTGCGGCTGCTGAACTCTTAGTTCACAAAAGAAGAGCAAAAAAGTTCTATACTATCATGGAGTCTGCGGCTGCTAACAAAGGTGATGACACTTGTGTATTATGTTTTGATTATATGCAAAATTTGCCTCTGCCTAATATACCAGTCCAAGAAATAATTTATATGCGCCAACTGTGGGTGAATGTTTTTAGTATACATGACATGAAAACCAACAAGTCTAAAATTTATATTTATCATGAAGGAGAGGCCAACAAATCACCAGATGAGATATGTAGTTTCTTACAAAATTACATAGAGAAAGAAATACCAAGTACTGTGAAACATATAATACTTTTCAGCGATGTCCCATCTGGTCAAAACAAAAATCACGAAGTTGTGCGTTTTCTGTTAAACCTATGTGATAGGAAGAAGTTTTCAAGTATCATTCACAACTTTTCTGTTCGAGGACAATCCTAGTCAGCCTGTGATCGAGACTTTGGTACAACAAAACGTTCTTTGAGGCAAGTTGACCGTATATATACGCCAGAGAAATATGCTAAACTAATTTTGAAAGCTAGTACCAAGAATCGTTTTTCAGTTTACAAAGTGAAAACAGAAGACATTTTAAGTTTTAAGCAGTAGTGGCCAAAATCATACAAAAAAAGTACGAATTCTGATGAAACATCTGGAAGAGGAGTTTCAAAAGTAGAAAAAGAAAGCTTCAAAGTTTCTACATACAAACAATTTTTGTACAGTGAAGAAACCTGTGGAAAAGTTATTACTAAATTGTTTATTGATGGTTTTACAAAGTCGACTTTCACTTTGCTCAAGGGTGGTAAAGTATCTCCAGAGTTACCCTCAGAGATAGCTAACTCTTCAGGACAGGTAAATTTATATAAAAATTCATACTTTCTTTACTTTTAACTTATCTTTAGGTCAAATTTTTTATAGGTACCCATTAACAACAAAAAAGATGGCCGATTTGCAGAAACTAAAACTTTACTTGGTTGGATACGAACACTTTTATGACCGAATCTTTGAATGGACAACCACAGATGGAGAAACTCGTGATGATCCCGTTGGAGATTAGCAAGGATATATTTGATACTTGTATTTTTTTTTTAATAATAATAAATTTAATAATAAGTTTTTATTATTATTAAAAAGAAAATACAATACTTGTATTTTCTTTTTAATAATAATTAAATCTTAACCACTATCATATCGCTTTTATAATATTAATATCCAAATTATCTTGCAATAATAAAATTATGTTTTACAGGTTAAACTATGATAAAAATGGTAACTTACTGCAGAAACACGTTAAGTACAACATTTGTATACATTTATTATGTCCAAACAGTTACAAAAACTTTTTTGAGAAAACTTGAAAAAATTGTCTGAGAAAGTTTTTTCAAGTTTTCTCAAAATCAGAAAAATTGCACTTAACGGGTTTCTGAAATAATCGATTCAATTATCCCGTTTTTATGAAAATAAGCTAAATAAAGCTCTTAGAGTTGTGATGTAATTAATCATCAACTCCAAAACCTTTATAGGGTTTAAGTAAGTTCATAGTACAAAATAATTATTTTTTTGGTGAGCATAACAATGCCATTATGTTACTATATATAAGTTGATGTTGCAATTTATATACAAAGTGGAAATATTTAAAAAATATTTCCACTCAGTTACAACACTGACACAATTTTTTCAAGTTTTAAAATTAAAGAACTTTCTTTTTCGTTTTTCTCAAAAACAGGTTTTATTCAAAGGGTTGCTTAAAACTCTGTAAGTTTATGAAGATCTCAAGATAATTTTTTTTATTTTGGAGATTTTTAGATATACTGTTCATAAGAACTTTTAGATTTAGTAATAATTGCTCAACTAGGCCAACTCTTGAAAAACATGTATCATGAAGAAAAAACTGAAGATAGAAGCAAGTGTTTAACCACCCTCAGCGATTAAAGCGCTTGCTTCAGAATCAAAGTTTGATTTTACAGTGCTCTGTGTTACAACTTCTTAGAGCTCCCTAAATCTAAATAAAAGAAATCTCGAAAATAAAACATCAAAGAACATCGACATTTTAGAGCGAAATGTTTATAAAATCCAACGTGAGCTATTTTATATATTCTCAAGCATTATTTACATAAGTCAAATATAATGAATGTCTATTAAATAAATATCTATAATCCTTTAACCTTTACGTTCAAATTAATAAAAAGTATCTGTTAAAATATAAAACCCTCAAATAAAAATTCTGTCATTTAGGGTTTCCTAAATAACCTACTCCCAATATTTTAAGGTTTACTCTGGTGTAAAGGAAAGCCTCAGGGTAATGCGTGTTTGCCCACGTATTTTTTAATAATATAAGTTTGTAGTATATATATATATATATATATATATATATATATATATATATATATATATATATATATATATATATATATATATATATATATATATATATATATATATATATATATATATATATATATATATATATATATATATATATATATATATATATATAAGTATTGTTACTATTTAAGGCCGTCCCGAGCGGAGGTGTCTAGCCCCCATACGAATTTTATTAGTCGGTAAATCGGACACTTGAGTCAGCAAAATTAAATTTTTAGATGGCAGTCGGCAAATGTCGAAAAACGAGGACCTTTTTTTTTTTAGATAAGTTAGTGGCCAAAATTTTTTTTTGGTTTTAGTCGGCAAAAAACAGACACGTCACCCCCTCACCTTTAAAATCTCACCTCCCTTTAAAATCTCTTCGGGACGGCCCTGTTACTATTAAGTAATTTTAATGAAAATACATTAAATTTAAGTTTAATATTTTTAAGCACTAGAGGCCTTTCAAAAAGTCATTAGTAGTAAGTTTTTTGAAAAGCCTCTAATACTAAAAGATACTTAACTTTAATTTAGTGTATCTTCATTAAAATTACTTGAAAGTAACAAAAGAAATAAACATTTTATATGCAGTGTTTATTTGTTTGAAAACTACTTTATTTATATTGTTTATTAACACATTGGTTGGTATATATTGGTATGTATTATATTGTTTATTAACACATTGGTTATTAATATATTATATTGGTTATTAACACATACATATACAGCGGTGGCCAAAAATTAAAGACCACTCATTTTTTTTTCAAATTTTATTTTTAACCTTAGTATAATTTTATTTTGGAAAAAGGTATCAAAAAAAGAAAAACATTTTTAGAAAGAATTTTTATTGTATTTTATATTTATTATAAAAAAATTTATAATTTTTTTACAAAATAATGTTAAAAAATTAAAAAACTGACTAGTAAAAAATATAAATGGAAAAAAAAATTGGACAAAATTTTAAGACCAGTTTCAAAAAAATTTCAAAAAGCTATAAAAAAATAAATTAGAAACGTGTTGTTCCTCCATTTGTTTTCAAGCACTCTTGTACTCGTTCTGGCATTGAATTCATTAAAGTTTTGATTACTTCATCAGGCACATTTTTCAAATGATAAGAGATAGAAGATTTCAAATTTTCCAAATTGTAAAGTTGTTCTTTACCAAGCTTGTGATCAAACCACGACCATAAATTCTCTATTGGATTCAAGTCTGGACTATTGGCAGGCCATGGAAGCACTTGAATTTTATTAGAATTGAACCAATTGCTAACAAAATGCGCTTTATGACACGGCGCATTGTCTTGCTGGAAAATAAATCCATCTTGCAACTGCCATAAATCAATGCTAGTAATAAGCGAGTTTTCCAAAATTTCGATGTACCTTTGTTTGTTGAGTCTACCATCGAATAAATGAAAAACGCCAACTCCACAGGCACTCATACAGGCCCAAATGCCTATTGAACCACTGCCTTGTTTTGTTCGTTTCAAAATGCATGATTCATCGAACCGTTCGCTTGGAAGTCTACGCAACATAACGCGACCTTTTCTGTTGTCTACCTCAACGTTCATTTCATTACTAAAGACCACACGGCTCCACTGATCTGTTGACCAATTTTTATGTAGTTTGCACCACTCTTTCCTGGCAAATTTTTGTTTTTTATTTAAGCGTGGTTTTTTTGCAGCAGCACGCCATAAATAACTTAAATTGTGGAGGACCCTTTGCACAGTTCTAGGGCTTGCTTTCAGACCATTTGACAGTGTCCATTTCGTAGACAAGTCTGTAGATGATGCTTGTCTGTTTTCTTTCATTAATCTCACTAACGAGCGAACATCACGGTCATTTGAAATTTTATTGCGTCCAGTCCTATGACGATCATTAATTGACCCAGTCTCTTTGTATTGTTGAATTATGTTAATAATGCAAGACTGAGACCTTCCGAGCTTTTCTGCTATTTGTCTGATGCTATAGCCTTCTTCTTTTAATACAAGAGCCGCGTATCTGTCTTTTTCTTCGATCTTTGCACGCATTTTTGCAATATTTTTATATCCTTATTGCAATTCAAAAAATAAATGTTTATTTGATATCGAAACTCAGGTTTCGACATTTTATTTTATAGCCAACATAATAAGCAACTAAGACAGTTAAAAAAAATAATCGAATATTATTTTTAATAAGTGCAAATTAAAGATTTGAAAGTGGTCGTTAAATTTTGTCCAATTTATTTAAAGTAGATTTATAAGTACTCATCAGTTTTTTAATAAGTTAAACGCTATTTAATTAGAATTAGATTAAAAAAATTATACCATTTTAATCCGTATGTTTTAATTAACAAGATATTAAAAAAAAAAATTTAATATGTCAATTAGAATCTTCTTAATTTTGATTTAAAGATTAAGAAACCAACTAAAAAATGAGTGGTCTTTAATTTTTTGCCACCGCTGTATAGATATATATATTTCCCTTAAGGTTTGAATAGTTAAAACTGTGATATATATATATATATATATATATATATATATATATATATATATATCTTCCTTGAGGTTTGAATAACCAATAGTTTGTTGTACATTGAAATTTCTAAAAAAAATTTTAATACTTTATTTTTAATACTTTATTTTTTGAACGTTCTAAATATAGAACAAGAATTTAAAAAAATTTTATTAAAAAAAAAAATTACGTCAGTTTTTTTTATTTTTTAGTTGACGTCAAATTGCACTTTCTTTTTGATTTTTAGTCAACACCTGCACATTGTCAAAGCAACACAATTTTGTACCAGCCTCTACATTTCATTTTAAATGTATTCATGGATTGCGTCATGGTTCACAGGAACAAAAGAAACGGTAATGCGTGTCACAAAAGATGTTCCTGAGTCAGATTGGATGTGGATTGAAGTAATAAAAGAAGATAACAACCAAGAAATATTTATTCAGACAAGTGAAGAACTACGCAATCAAATCATGATTTGCTCTAAAATTTTAAAAAAACGTCAACAACGGCTTGCTTTTGAAAATGTATCAAGGTTGCGATTCAGTAAATCACTTAATTTTGACTCAGCATTTTATTTAACACAAACGCTTTCACCAACAACTACCGATAATATGTTCAAAAGTAAAGGAATCGTAGTTTTCTCTAAACATATATTACCTGAAAAATATTTTATTCCAACTTTGATCAATAATTACATAGAAGTTGTTGAAGCATCTGCATCAAAATATCGAATTGGAAATATGCTGAAAGTTTCAAAAAAAAATATCGGTAAACTTAATACTTTTTTTCCAATCTAAATTATATTTTTCTGTAAAATTTTTGCATTAATATAACAAATGTTTTGTTTGTGTTTAAGTTAGAAAATGTTTAAAAGAGAAATGTTTAAAAGAAAGATTCAAAAAAAGTGTTTAGTTCTTATAGCTTATAATAGCTTTAATACAAATTTTTATAAATGATAAAAACAAATCCTTTGAGATTAAGTTATTTTAAAATTCTTTAGATTTTGAAGACATTCAAAAGTATGCAGTTGTCGTTGACCGAGCCTATAATCGATGGAAGAGGGTTTACAATGCAAGTTTATTAGCTGTTGAATGGAAAAATAATATTTTAGCGTTGGAATGGAACGTTGAATTGCCTAAAAGTATTGAATGGAAAAGTGTAACATTGGCAATAGAGTGTAAAAAAAACATGCTCTGTATTGAAGGAACACCACAACTATTTTTAAAATATTGTAATAATCATAAAAATGGAAAAAATAAGTACTTAACTATTGGCATAACGGAAAAAGTTCATGTTGTTCCATATTGGATGCAAAGAATTGATGTCGAATTTTTTCAAGGAAGTAAAAAACTTATTCAAAAATTGCCCTCTTGGATGCAGAAAATTAATGTTGATTTATTTAATTCAATGCAACAATACACGATACAAAACCATTGCTTAGACAAGACTTGTAAAATGCAAAATCATTGGTTAGATGAGACTTGTAAATTGCGTAAAGAATGGTGGAGAACTATTAATGTGAATGAAGTAAGTCAAAGTTTAAAGAAATTAAAAAGGTCTTTACATCATGTACCAAGTTGGATAAGATCTATTGACGTTTTTGACTACTTGCCTTTCTCAACAAGTTTGAGGTCTGAAGAAAACTTGTTACCAGAATGGATGCTTCGCATAAATATTTTCGAAGAAGAATCAGATTTATGTTTTTCAACCCAAAATTTATCTCGAAGTCATAAAGTTGGCATATCTAAAACAACTAGCCTCAATGACCAAGTTAAATCTATAAGTACACCAGAGTCCCTTCAAAAAATCTCTAGGTCGTTTAGCGATAATATAATTGGTGTTGCTATGATGATTGCTGCTTATACAACATTGCCACCTTTAAGATCTGAGAATTGTATCAAAGATACAAAACAACAAGAAGCCATAAAAGCTTGTCATAAAAGTATGGAGTCTAATAAACCAATCAAAAAGTCGTGGAAAATGTCAATAAGAAAAAATAAAAAATGGCTGAAACGACGCAATACAGCCCAAAACATTTATGTTAAGAAAGGCAAACACTGTTCCAACAATTAAATTAATTTTTTAATAAAAACTTTTTTTAAAAAAAGTAGTTGTTATCTTTGAATTATTTCTGTTAATTTTGTCAATAAATTGATCAGGCATATCTTTGTTTACAAAACAACTTCTAAAAAGCAAAACAGAATCTATGCAATCCACAGCTTAAATAGCCATCCATAAATTATGTGTTATTTTTACTTTTTATTAATCTTTTTTCAGATCTGCTTTTAGATGGTTTAGTAAATAGCTTTTTCATTTTTTAATTAATTCTCTCCTATCACTCTTTGAACTCTGTTCTTTAAAAATACCACAAAACAAATTTAATTTGAAACCAAGAACAACCAGTTTTAACAAAAATCTATCATTGTTAGTTGATTTTAACGCTTTGGCTAATAGAATAAATAAAGTAAATATTTCGCAACATTTTCTATTGAACTTGAGATATAGAGTTTCCATTAAATTTGTAATACAAAATTAAATATAAACAATTTCATGTTGTTTTTTATTGATTAGCTTTATTATCAACAAAATATTTCATTATTTCATTTTTAATTTTCCTTTTTTTTTTTTTTTTTTTTTTTTTTGTGGTTTTTGAGGTGCTCGCATGTCTCACAACTACATTAAAGCTGACTGAAACTCTTTCCACGATTTTCTTCGCGATGGCTCTTGAGTAGAAATCTCGTTCGATTTAATTTAACTGTCAAACAGGTTGATTGATTGCTTCCGTATTTAAAGTGATTTTCTGCTTAGACTCTTCTACAGCTAATAGTCCGGACAACATATCTACTGTAGTCTTGTAGAAGTATTCTTCAGAGCTGTCATCTATACTTTCAAAACTATTTAACAAGTGCTTATCAGAGTCTTGTTTTCCAGTCTGCTGGAAAGCGGCATCTGTTATCCTATTTTTCAAAAATTCTGGAGAGCAATCTGACTTGTCTAAATACCGTCCCATTCGTCTTCTTCCTATCTTAAGCAAGGTTTTTGAATCTTAAATTAACAAACACTAAATCTCTTATCTTGAATCTAATAACTTACTTTCTGATCATCAATATGGATTTCAATCTTCTCGTTCTACAGATGATTTGCTAACAGTAATACTGATAAGATTTTTCGTGTATTAGATAAAGGTGGAGAAGTTAAGGCTTTTGCTCTTGACATTTCTAAAGCTTTTGATAAAGTTTAGAATGCTGGTTTTCTCCATAAACTTTTTACGTTGCATCAGGTAACATTTTCAAGTTTATTGAATCCTTTCTTTCCAATCGTAGTATAATAGTTGTTTTCAATGGACAGCACTCTTCTTCATATCCTTCAATTTCAGAGGGTTCTCAAGGTTCTATCCTTGGCCCAATAATCTTTTTAATTTAAATTAACGATCTTCCAGATACTCTTACATTTAAAGTGGCATTGTTCGCTGATGATACTGCTATTTATTCTTGTCTTGATAAGAAGCTAACACTCTCTGATTGTTTGAAGGGTACATTTGACCTTGAAAAGGATCTCACTTCTGCTATAGCATGGACTCACAGTGGCTGGTAAACTTTAATTCAGATTAAACCCAATTTATTTTAGCTAATTGTTATCGCAATAATTTAGATCTTCCTATATTTATGAACGGTAGTGTACTCGATGAGTCGTCTACCCTTCATCTTCTAGGATTAACTTTTACTTTCGACCTTTCTTGGAAACCTTCTTAAAATCAGTTCTTGTTTTAGTTTCTTTTTTCCTTTTTCATTTTTATCGGCTGAATTTTTTAGTTATATTAACGGGGCTGGATGAAAAGATCATGTCTTCTGCCAGCTCCGGTCGAAACTTTAATGTTATAATTTTTATGTTGTAAAAAAACATTGTAAAAGATTATTCATTTAATGACAAAATAAATAAATTAAAAAAAAAAAAAACCTATATGCCAAATCCACTGCAAAATTAGCATCTGCTAAGGTTGCTTTTCTTTATCGTGCTCAACACATTCTTACTCCGGATTCTATTCTTTATGTCTATAAATCTCAAATCCGCCCTTGTATGGAATATTGTTGCCATATGTGGGGTGGATCTTCTATTGATGCCCTCGATCTTTTAGATAAGGTGAAAAAACGAATTGTAAACATAGTTTGACCTGCTCTTGCAGCCAACCTCTAACCATTATTATATTGTCGTAATGTTGCTTCTCTTTCTCTTTTCTACAAATACTATAATGGGCACTGCTCTAAAGAGCTAGCGTCTCTTGTGTCATCTACCAAAATTCATTCTTGTATTACTTGTCATTCAATTAAGTTTCATCATTTTTTTATAACTGTTCCTAAGTGCTCCAAAAATTCTTATTTGTCTAGTTTTTTTCCTCGAACATCAGTTCAGGAATTCACTTCATTCTTCTTGCTTTCCTGATTCATATAATTTGCAATCTTTTAAGTTGTCTGTCAATCGTTATCTTGCTCTACAAACTTTATATTTTATCTTCCAGTAAATTCCAACCCTGCTTCCTGCCTTGTTGGAAGCAAAGACGTTGAAAAAAAAGTTCAATTTTTGCCTTCATTTTTCAGCCAGTGTAGCTCCCTCTTCTTTTTTATTACCCATGGATGCAGCATGAATATAACCATGCTGCAGTTGGATTCCCAGGCAGTTTTATTCCAAATTCTTTTCTCAAAGTTTCCAATTTGGTTACAAGTTTATTTTGTTTTAGTTCTGATTACTTTTGTATGTGTCTTTCAATTTGACTTAAAATTTTCTTGATGTTTTCTTTTTCATTTTCTAAAGTTACTCTATATCTCACTTTAATTGTTTTTAGAATTAACTTTGATTTTTTAATGAACTTGATGTTTAAAGTTAGTAAATTTCTTTTAACTCTCCTTTTTTTATCAATAACATTTTGTCACAAGTTACCAATAATATTCTTGAATCGTTCGTAAAAGTTGATTTTTTTAATAGTGCAACCTCGAATATCAATACGTAAAAACAAATTAAGTTCGAATTTAAATTACTGAATTTCTAGGGATAACCGGACTGTGGAGTTTTCACACATTGTGCGAGAAAGTCTATATTGTATGAAACAATTGAGTTTTGCGGCCTCTTGCAGCGTTTTTTTCCCGTTGTATTTTTAGTCGAATAAATTTATTTTCGCGTAATTTACAATTTTTGTCCTTACAAAAGTATATGTTTATACTTCAATTTTTCTTTTATGTTAAATAATTCACAAATTAAATATCATTTTTAGATCAGTGTAGAAGTAATTTTTATTGTATAGACTTTCAAAGTTATTGTTTAAAAACAGTATTGGTGCAATTTTAAGATAATTATTTATCTTTACTTTCTTCAACTTCAAACAGCTATAAAAGCAGAATGGTTTGATAGATTTCAAAACATATTTTTGGCACTGACCTATAAATTTTCAACATAATGTAAATTTACTATTTATAATTAAAAAATAAAAAGTAAGAAAAACGAATTTTTTCATGCTCTGGGCACACTGTGTTAAGTCATTTTTAATGAAAGCCATTTTGCTTTTAACTTTCATTTATTTTTAAACATTTAAATTTATTGTCCCAGGTTAGATTTTAGGATTTTCCTCAATTGTAAGTAAATTTGTTTAAATTATAATCCAATATTATTACACCTGTCATGACTGTAGTTCAATTTGATAAAGTAAAAGGTGTTCCAGTTCTATATATACTCTCATTTATAATTATAAATGAGTGTAAATATAGAGTTTATAAACGGGGGTACACCTTTCACTTTATCAAAATGAATATAATCAATAAAATAAGTATTGCCACACTTTTTCACTTCCTAATTCAACTAAATTTTTATAAAATTTTGCAAGCTTTTGTATTGTCTTGTATATATACACACTTCTCTACCTTTATACCTTTTTTTATGGAAAAATTAGTTGTATATATATTTTTTTTTGTACGTAAAAAAATATAAATATTTAGTTGTATTGTAATAAACGTTGATACTGAATAAAACTCTTATATATCAAAAAAACTAAGCAAAAAGTTGCTAAAATTCATCAATTCAATTAAAGTGGCAAAAACAAAATATAAAAATATAAACAAGTTTTTTTTATTGAAAATTTAAAGATGATTTGCACCAGTTTTTTTTAAACAGACACAAGAATAACTAAGAGAAAACATTTTTTTACGAGACGATAAGAAATTAACTAAAAAAAGAAGTATTTTTTAGTTTAACAGGTTGGAAATAAGATTAGAAGCTCAGTGGTGGACGCAGGACTTTTTTATGTTTCTGATATGACACTTTCAGGAATTGTGAAAGTTCCAAATTTAAATATGCTCATGAATATTTTGAATAAGAATGTTTTGCAAAAAGTTCTTATTTGAAAACCTTGGTAATGACAATTGCAGTTTGTGCGGAAAAAAATAAAATCACATTGTGGGGGGAGTCAAATATTGGTACCAACATATATTAGTATATCATAGAGATGTGCGGGAACTAGTTTGTGCCGAGTTCCTGATTCTAAGTACCCGTAAGAAAACACTGGATACAAGTCGGAGTACCCGGCAACATATTTATTTTAAAAAGTTGAAATAAAAGCTTGTGAAATCTCTAGTACTGAATTGTTTTCATAAAATAAAGTTGATTAATTTTCGCTAATTATGTTTGCCTAAATATATAAAGTTTTTTTTTAATAAACAACTATATTTACAATCGAGGTCACAAATTCAAATTACGTGTGTGAACTCGATGTACGTAAATATTCTTAATCCCTCAGAGTTGTTAATATTTGGAATAACTTGCCGTCTGACATAGTTAATGCCAAAAACATCAAAAGCTATAAAATTAAAGTTAATTCTATCAACTTCAAAAAATACGGCTCCGGCTAACTAATTTTCGTTTTATAATTGAAGTATTATATATAATAATATTATATATATTAATAATATATATTATATATTTTTTTGTAAGTTGTCCCTAAATAATTGCTAATATGCGCTAATTAATCAAAAGTTATGTTATGGAAAATAAAAGACTAAGAGAGACAGAGAATTGAAATTAAAAAAAAAGAAAAGAGTAGACCTTCTCGGCTGAAGTGTAAACAGTGCCTCCGAGAGGAGGGGGGGGGGGGGCAGGGATTGCGAGGGACAGTTTGTTCCGGACGGCAGATATCCAAGGGGCGCCAAATGAAATGTAGGTACCTAAAAAAAAAAAAAAGGTCCTTCATATATAATATAGGGAAAATTTAATAAATAAGGGTGCCAATCAGGATTGTTGTCCCAGGCGGCGTGACAGCTCTCGGCGGCCCTGAGTGTGAATAAAATAAAAAAATATTTTAAGTAAGACATGTCTATATTGAATAAATAAGGTTTTGTGGTTGTTGACTCCATAATACCCTTAGACTTATATCGAGAAGTTTATTGGTTGAAGTTTATACTAAAAACAATCCTGTTAATAATATTTCGACACAATTTAAGATACCACTTAAACAAATAGTTACACCATTTAAGTGCTGTAACTATTTACACAGATAGTCTTATAGACAGATAGTCCTCAACTACAACTGCAGAATTTTCTGCTTTCACTTTGGATATTAAAGGGTTGCTGGAATTTTTTGGCATGTATGTGCCATTGCTTTTGATTGTAAATGGGTTGAATTAGCTAGGTAAATTTTATATTGTTTTTAGTACTTATTCTTATGTAATAAAACATACTATAAATATAACTATAAATATATACAATAAAAAATTTCCTAAAAATATACATGTATTTTAGATATTCATAAACTCTTTGTTTGCGCTCGAACTGTTTTATCTGGAATCGCTTATTGGACTTCCAAAGGTATACGTTGTACTGAGTGATGTTTATCATTTTAAAAAACAAGTGGTAGCAGAATATATATATATATATATATATATATATATATATATATATATATATATATATATATATATATATATATATATATATATATATATATATATATATATATATATATATATATATATATATATATATATACATATATATATATATATATATATATATATATATATATATATATATATATATATATATATATATATATATATATATATATATATATATATATATATATATATGTATATATATATATATATATATATATATATATATATATATATATATATATATATATATGTATATATATATATATATATATATATATATATATATATATATATATTATTATATAAGAGTTACAAGTTTTCTTAAGAAGTTTAAGAAATACAATAAAGATTGAAAGATTAGAATTAATTTAAAATCATTTGGAAAGCATAAGAACGTTGTCATTTTTCCTCTCTAAAGCCATCTTTATTCTTCTACTTTGATTTGAAGTTGTAATGGAGGTTGTGGAAAATTTTGTATTGCTTCAATAGTTAGTTTGAAGTCTTTGCTATAAGTTAAACTTAGTTGTGATGGATCAACATCGTCAGGTAAAAAAATGTTTTTTGTAAGCTCTTTTTGGTGCGAGTTATACCCGTGCTCATTAGTATTTTCAGTTTTGGTTTCACAATGAACAAGTAAGCATCTACCTTTCATTTGAACTGAAATCTCTTCTGGTTTAAAATCTTTTACATCTAAACAATATTTAAAAGTCTCTTTTGTTGGTTCTACAGTATCTTTTTTTAAAGGTAACATTTTGGGAGCTCGAATTTGCAAAATTCCATCTTCACTTATGGTTGAAGTAAGAGCAGTTGGATCTACATCATCTGGAATAGTGTACTTTCTGAGAAATTCACTACATTCAAAACCGTTTTCATTTATATTCTTATGTTTGCCACATACTTCAAGAAATCGTCCTAAATAATGAGAAATATTAAATAAAAGCTTATATTACTTCAATAAGTTAGTAAAGCAACATTTAGACAAACAAAAAATACCTTCTACTTTCATAGTAACCTCTTCGGGTTTAAAATGTTCGATATCAAGATTAACAACGAATCCATCATTATTCAAAACAGACCAATTCAAAACCGGGTGAGTCACATGCGAGACGTTTTCAAAAAGATCTTTATTTGTATACTTTATACTTCTTATTCTGTCATTTAAAGCAGAAAGGTTTTCAAACAAAGAAAAATATTTCAGAAGAGAGAAAGTATTATCCGTTTTATCCAAACCACGATCAGTTGGATTATACTCTTGAACAGGTACTTGCCAAAACGTCATATTTTTCTAAAATATTAACAGTTAAATTCAAGCACATTAAAACCTAGTCTATTTTTGAAGTCTAGTAAAAAAAAAAAAATTATATAAGATAAAACCTCTTAAAATAAAGTTTTTTAAATCTGAAAAAAAAAATCAATGTTAAAATATTTTTGGAAAAAATATTCTTAATTTTCAAAAAACTTCAGGTTTTACTACATAATATTATAAAATGTTCATTCGTTATTTAATTTTGACAACAAACAATAAAATTAATAATCAAAAAATTAGGCTAAATTATATTTTAAGTGTTCTATGATTTGCTCTTGAAATAATTCAATCGCACTAAATGGTAAACCGGAACCAAAATATTTTAATTTTTTTGTATCGTTTTTCTAAATGTATATTATCTAAGTAAATATATTGGCTGCAAGGAGGTAACTCCTGGAGCAAAACATGGTATACAAGCTCTGTTATTTGCAGTATAAGCCGGTAATTACTTGTACAGTTTATGTAATATTTTGGGTTCTTTATCTAAAAAACTATAACAATGGGTTCTGAAAAAATTAGCAGACTTTTTTGAAATCACCTTTTTGGGAAGATTGTTCCAAGAGCTTGCTATGTTATTGGCCAGGGTTTCACAGTTTCACGCATTTCACAATTATCAATTATTTCACTGTATAAATTGTTGCAGTTACGCTCAATTATCAATTATTCGACATGCCAATTAACTATATCAATTTTATTTTCAATTTTAAAATCTTGAATACAGTCAAACAAATTTATTTTGAATTTGAATATGTCTAAATTAGAAAGTCGTTAGCGTTTTTCACAGCAGAACTGTTTTAGTATTAAAGGTATTTATGTGGCTCGTCTCTAGATACATCGATACGTCGCTAGATACATCGATACGTCTCTAGATACATCGATACGTTTAATGATCAATTTTCAAAATTATTACTGCTTTATATATTAGGTATAAGCTTTAGATGCTATTCGGTATCGCCTGTATCCAACTTACAATTCAACGTGATGGTGATATCGAGATCATGTTCCTTTTAATTACTAAAAAAGACACCCGTTTAACAAAGCAGTTTTCCACTTATGCTTATAAACATTTATGTTTGGAACAGTGTCAAAAACCAACTAGTCAAGCATTAGTAAAAATGTCAAACCATTGCTGATAAGTCAAAGAAGAAAAAATAATATCCTAGGACTCTAACAGGTTAGCAACTTATGATTTATACCAAAAAAAAGGAAAATTACTCCTAACAATTAAGTTTTCTAAATGAACTTAAGCCTCGGAACTGGTTGTTTGATTCTTAAATTCAGGGGTTGAAAAGATGAGACCTTTTGATAAAAGCAGATTTGTAGTATTAGTATAAAACTATCAGTAAGCAACTCGTAATACGGGTTCTTAGTAAATAAAAAAAAATAAAAAAACCGCGTATAGAAAAGCCTAGAAACTACTTTAAAATAGAAAAGCCTAGAAAATGACGTAACTCGACTAATAATAATAATATTAAATTAGCGTATTCATATTATCAGATAAAATTTAATCTTTAGACGTGAATTACTAATATCACCGTTGAAATAATGCATAGCGCTAATTTGCTTTTTTTTTAATTTTTGCTTCGATTTAATAGCAATATCTTCAAAATGTTATCACGTGTTGTATTTTCGTAGTGTCTTAGTGCTTTTTAAGTTTGATTTTGTACCATAAAATTAATTTTGAATCTAAAAATATATGTTGAGAACTGATATGATTTGGGATCTGGTTTACTAGAATAAAATCCAAAGTTGCTTCTTTTTTGCAAGAAAATGAAGCAGCTTTGGATTTTTTTCAAACATTCAAAAATATTTCTCTCGTATGCAACTTTTCGTGGTAGGCAGTGTTAACAAATACTTTAAAGTTGCTGTCAGAAAAAAAAATAGATTATTTTAATATGTAAATCATTATTTAGTAGTGCATTATTTTCCATAATTTATTAGAAATATGCTATCTGTTTTAGAATGATCGTCAATTAATAAAACAAGTTTTATAAAAAATTCTCGTCAACTGGTAGACATCTTTTTAAATATGGCTGACAAATACCTTTTTAAATAAAGCAGTTACAAATTATTATTTTTTTGCGTGTGTTTTTTTGTAATTTCAACGCATTAAAAAAGAATAAGCTGCAATTTTTTTCATGTGAGTTTACATATGTTTGTTCTAATTTTTCAATAATATCTTGGAATGCAATGAGATTTTTTTAAGTTTTTTATTTCCTCACAAACTCAACAATAACTATTTATATCCATTTTTCTTTTGCTAAGATTATATCGATGTTATGAGCTAAAAATTGTTTTAAAAATAACCTATTTAAATAAAACTAAATGTAAAATGTTTAAAAGCCTATATTTAATTCAAGTTTGATCTGCCTAATGGTAAAAAAGTTGTTAAGCAAGATGATCATCTTTGTTTATTTATAATTTATGGCTTAAGGGTCTTGAGTAGTTAATTGATATAAGCAGATTGGAGTGTAACGAAGTACTTTTACTTCGTTACAACAATTTATTACCTTTTGCAGTATTTCTGCATGTAACGAGTAACATTTATAACACAGTTGCAATTTAACTCGTAATTTTTACTTTTTCTTTCATTACTTTGAAGGCTTATTTTTTTATTTATAACGAATTACTTTCAGAAAAAAGTACAATAGTACTTGAAGTTTATTGATTCAAAATAGCTGCATAACACGCACAATATCACCGAGCAAAAACCAATACCGTTTAATTTTGGGTTCCAGCCATAAATTAAGACGCTAAGCTGCATACAGACAAGATGCGCAACTTAAATACACAACGTATTAGGCGAACTGACTGTCTGTTTGGAAAACTATTCAAAAACGATTTTGACAGAACGCAGCAATGCTATTTCACTTGCCCCCTCATCAGTAATCTGCATCCTACTCAATAGCGTACTTGCCTCAGAAACGTAAGACCCGTGGTTCAAACCCCACCACTGGGCAAGTTTTGCAACATCGGTTGGGAAGGAGGCGTGAACTTCCTATTAAATGCTTTTCCGCGGTGCTCTGTGATAAGACCGTAAGGACTTCTTGGGGCACCTAAATCAACTTTTAAAAAAATATACTCATTATACTTGTATACAATATTAAAGTTGTAATGCTGACTATGAAGTCTTCAAAAAAATTATTCAATCAACGTTATCAAAATGTCAGACGTTGTGGAACAAACAGTTATAAAGTAATACATCTATAGAAGTTTATAATAAATCATTAGGTCTGCAGTTTGCTTTTTCTTATTAAACGAGGTGTAGTTCAAAGTACATGCTGTGGAACGCACAGGCTAATAATTGATAAAGGAATCAATTTGATAAAATGGCGATTGAGGCAAGTTTGATTTTTTACAGTTTCGACTAGCTGAAATAGCGTTGAGTGCAAAGTATTTCTCTACTATAAAGCTTCTCGCTGAGTGTTAGATGTCCTACAGTATGAAACAACTGTCTACATGGAGTACTTGCAGTCAACAAATTTGAAAGAAAAAATGCCGTCAAAGAGAAAATGCCACCATGAATGCAGAATTATTAGCGCCAGCAATTGTTCATGCAATTTAAGTCAGTTTGGATCAAAGACAAAGAGTTAAAGTAAATTGATTGGCTAAAAACAGTGACAGTCCACAGTGGGTTAAAGTGTGGCAAAACCATACAAAAAAAATTTGAAATTTTGAAATTTAATAAACGGCAAGAATTGTTTAACATATTATTAAGCTAGAAATTATATTTTATAAGAAAATATTTTTGCAATAAAATATCACATTTGTTATTTAAACATCGCCTAAAAAATTTTTCAAAAAAAAAAAAACCAAGAGTGCGAAAGTTTTCTTTTTTTACATTTTTTTGACACTTTTATTTATTATTTTAAAGAACTTTAAGTTTATTTTTTTACCATATAAACAACTTATATATTATTATGTTAATATTTAAATGAAATAAAAAATTGTTTTGTTTGCACTTTATATAAATAATTTTAACAAAGAAAACGTCGTGAAAAAATAAAAAAACTTTCAAACATACCATTTAAAACCAACGGATCAACCTGTATCAATCGCCTAAAGTTATATATCATTAAACACCATTAAGGTACTGATCTCGTGGTTCAAAAACTGGCTGCCTATAGCTGCCAAAACGAATACACTTTTAAATTCAAATAACTACGTACACGTTTCTCGTTTTTACGTTTTTTATCGATAATAATAAATTTAAGAGGAATTAAAACAAAAAAACTGCGGTTTGAATTCATAATAATTTTTTTTATAGACTTAAGTTTAAAAAAAAATGTCTTTATTTTTTTGATTTCATGTTTCTGCATAGTATTCGCTTAATAAACATTTAGATCGCATTGAAACCATTATTTGTCATTTTTTATGCTATCATTTTAAAGTAATAAAAACTAAATAAAATACGAAATTATGAAACTTGTACAAGTTTGAGACATTACCAATATTATTTATTTATTACTTATTTAAAATTTCCGATAACAATAAAACTATCCGTATTCGATAGTAAAACGCGACAACAACCAATAAGAAATAAAGGAAAGGCAGTGAATTTACTTAGTTATGACTCGTAAAAAAAACATAAAAAAGCTTTAACTAACTTATTACAAAATATTTATTTAATTTCCTTTATAACAAAATAACTAAAAATTAATAAATTGATAGACGGTCATTTGAAAATGGATAGGTGTCTTATGAATTATATTATGGAAAATAATTTGCTGCAAAATGATGGTATAAATGCGAAAATGTTAAGTCTTGTTTCCGAAAGCAATTTTGAAGAATCTAGTGATAATTTGTCAATTATTTTAAAATTTATTTATCAAGTCGAAAAAAGTGGAAAAAATAAAATAGAATGAGTGCAGTTTTTGAAAAAAGAAACAAAATTTGGTTAGACAAAATTATATTTGACTGGAAAAAACAAAAACTTGAAACGAAAACCTGCGGTATGTTTACATTAATTATGAATAAAATTTATTATAGTTTACAAATTTCTTCCTATTGTTATTATGGTAATTAAATTATTATTAAATTATTGTTATAATTTAAGGTAGACGCCCTTCAGTTTTGTTTGAAGCTGCGTCTGTGCGAATGAAAGATCGCATAGTTTCCGAGCTTTTGAATTAATACAATTCGAAATATAAAATATATGCTGCAAGTAAAAGTTTAAAAAAAGATAAAAGGTTTATAGAAGCAAAAGTTGTTAAGAAATTATGCAACAAAGAATTATATATAGGATCACTTACGTCCGAACAGCCCTTAACGTTAGTCTTAGATGCTAATTTATCCAAAGAAACTTATCAGGATTTAGGAAATAATGCTCCACAATTTAATTCTCTATACCCATCATATTATATGTTAAAAAAGGCTAAAAATAAATGGTACCCTGAAAACATTCAGGTTAGTGACTACTCTGCAGAGGTACCATTACAAGATCTTCTTTTTCATACTGCATCAAGAATATGTTCAGCTTATAGCGTTGTGTCAAACTCGTCTGTGCTTAAAGATTGCACTAGACTAATTCTAATATACAAAGCTGGCATTGATGGTGCAACAGGACAATCTGTTTATAAACAACAGTCAGATGATACAAGTGAACTTAATACCGACGAATTGCTTTTCATAACTTGCTTTTTTTCTCTAGAACTATATTGTTTCAAAGATGAGAAAAAACGGGTTGTTTGGAGAAATCCGAAACCATCGTCAACTAGTTACTGATTTCTCTCAGATTTAAATATAAAAAAGATTCAAAAGAAGCAGTTCTTGCAAAATATGAGTCAATTATGGCTTCTATTAAAAATATAACATTATCCAATGTATCTGCTTTATTGGAGGACGGTGCAATGAAGGAAGTGGTAGTACAACATATTGTAAATATAACAATGATAGATGAAAAATTTCAAACTATCATTTCCACAGCTACCAACTCTTATCAATGCTGTTCAGTGTGTGGTGCATTTCCAACCGAAATGAAGAATCTATCTTTAATTGTTCAAAAAAAACTTAAGAAGGCTATATCAGGCATGGTGTTTTAACTTTGCAAGCTTTGATAAGGTTTTTTAGAATGTATGCTCCATATCTCTTATAAGATGCCAATTATGAGGTAGCAAGCTAAAAAAGTATGGTTAAACTGAGAAAGGTTCAAGTTCAAGTTGTATTTTGAAAAATGATGGGTCTTGTCATTGACCAATCAAGAGTTGGTGGGGCAGGTACATCAAACGATGGTAACACAACTAGGCGATTTTTTCAGCATTACGATGTCTCACCTAATATAATGAACATGGATGCAAATCTTATGAAAAGGCTTGATATTATTCTGCCCACAATGTCATGTGATTATGACATTAGCTCATCAAAATTTAAAACATTCTGTTGGGAAACTGCTTTGCTATATGTAGACTTGTACCCTTGGTATCCTATGACCCAAACACTTCATAAGGTTATGATTCATAGATTTCACTAAAGAGTAATACTCAATCAAGTTTATCAGTCAAAACTACAAATTGCTAATACTTTTGAAACACCATCATCTCAATCTGAGACTTTGTCAACCACAAACCTCCGGAATCTATGAAAAACAATTGCAATTAGTCTAACAGCTTGACGCAGCTTAGCAACAAATGAAACACGTCCAACAAGTTGGATCAAATAAATGAAAAAATATGGAGACGTGCAGATATTTGAAAAACATTTCAATAAACGTAAAGCTTTCTTGAGAATGAAAGATGCTGACAGCAAAAAAAGCAACAAAGCAAGCTAGAAAATAACTTAAGCTTAATTTTAATGACGAGCAGCAAATAAGTAAACCAACAGCAGCGACGCTAACAACAACAACAACAATAACAGCAAACCAAGTAATGCTTAAAAAGTGCCCTAAAGTTTTCGGCTAAGCTTCAACAAGACAAATTTTAAATGGTGTCGGCGCAAAATTTTTATTAAATAACTTTTCTCAAAACAACTGACATTTTTAACTTTATTTTTTTATATTTAAATAAAAATTGTCTACAACAACAACAACAAATTTTTTTTCCCGTTTTAAAAAAGAAAAATTCATAACAATTTAACTTTATGAAATCTAGATATTAACATATTTTATATAATTTTACTGCTTTTGAAACTTAGGCTAATTTTTTTTTTCTTTTTTTTAAAGTCAAAAAACTATTTTTTGAAAATTTGGTTTTAAAAGTCACAAATTCACTATTTATCACTTAAGTTTTATTTATTTCTTAAGTTTTGGTGTCTGTGAGCTCCAAAAATATTGAAAAGCAATTGGAAAAACTTTAGAAAAAAAAACAGGATACTTAAGATACAGAAAATTATTGTTTTGATTCTTGAGTATTTTTGCAAAATATATTTATGGCGGCTAGAAACTCAGAATTAAATTAGGCTGCTAGGAACTCCCTGTTAAAATAAAGTTTCAAAATTTAAATTCCTCTAAATTTATGTATTCATTTCTCAAAAAAAAAGTGCACAACTATTGACCTAAGGACTTGACTTGACTCTCTCAACATTTTTGGAACTCCTTGACGCGAAAAACGAAAAGTTTTTCAAACCCGGAATTATTTTCACGACCCTACATCTTTGAAAATAAATTTAAAAAATATTGAACTAAACGTATTTTTTCATATGTATCTTCAAAATTATCTTGCGTAAAATATTTTTCTTATATAAAATTAAGTATTATTTTGTGTAAAATATTTTTCTAATATAAAATTAACAAAAACCTTTATCAAGCCTGCCTCTATCTTCGGAAAGTGGGTTCTTCTTAAAGAATACCATAGATATCTTCTTAGAGGATACCATAAAAACATTCTATTCTGAGAAAAAGTAATTAATAAAAAATTTAAAAAAAGTTAGAAAACTTTTTCTTTAATTTTTTAAATGCAAATAATTACAAATTACATAATGCAAATAAAATACATTCTCTATATTTACGTAAACTTGCGCTTGTATCTGTATATGTATTGTATATGTATTTCTTCTAGAATTTTACTGTAACTAAGTTTATCTAAATATTACGCATGATATATATATATATATATATATATATATATATATATATATATATATATATATATATATATATATATATATATATATATATATATATATATCAAAAGAAAAACAAAGTTTGTAAAGATAATAAATACTAACTTCATCAAAATAAAAAAATTTCAACTTTTTTTTAAAACTGCACTGTTTTTTAAAATTACTTGACTGGAGCGTTTACTTAATTATCATTTCGGTTTGCAACGCAAAAGTTTGTTTCTTTTAAAAAACAAATTTTCGATTGACGTCATAAAACTTTTTGCGGTTGTTTTTTTTTTTAGGGTTTCTCAAACAATTTTACTCGTTTTTTAAAAGAATTTTAAAAGAAAAAAAAAGAGTTTTAAAAGAAAAAAAATTAACTTTTATAAATACGTTCCTTCTCACATTAAAAAATATATTTTTTTATTGAACTAAATACTCTTTAGAAATTGTGCGAGGAAACTTTTTGTAATTATTTTCTTAGATATAACTAAACGATAACCGTGGTTTTTTGGTTAGAGTTTTGGTTTCAGAACTGGAGGTCCCTGGTTCAAAACCGGTTCTGGTCATATATTCAACATTGGTAAGGAAGGAAGCGTGAACTTCCTGGTTAAATGCTTTTGCACTGCGCTCTGTGATAAGACCGTTAGGACTTCATAAAGTACCTAATTAACTTAAAAATGAAATAGAGTTGAGGCGTCAAACTTTATATAACATTGGTCATACACAATGGCGCAACTTTTTACGGCTAAATTTGAATTTTATATTTGTACTAATTGAAAGAAAATGAACTTTGAAGTTAGTATTCAGCAAGACTAGGAAGCAGAAGCAATTTTAGGTTGGTGTGTCTGTGTGTGTGTGTTTTGTGTGGTTGTGGGGGGGGGGGGAGAGGGTGTGTGTGCGGTTCCCCAAAGAAGGTGATTTTTAAATTAAAGTCGGTCTTTTTTAGTAATGTAGTTGGCTTTTCGGGTATTTGACACAACTCCAACTTAACCTACATTAAAAGATTTATTTAAATCAATACTATATAATAAAATTAAGAGAGGTCTTATATAGTTATATATTAGTTGTTATATTTATATACCCAGTGGGCACTGGACCAAAAAAAGACGTCTTTTGAACGTTCAAAAGACATCCAAAACGCTCAAAAGACGTTTAAAAGACGTCCAAAGCGTGTATAAGACGTTTAAAAGGCGTCTTTTTTTACACCCGTGCCCACAGGGTAGTATTGTCGTATATTGTTTATTATAGTAGATTAGATTCAAATTTTTACTGACCTTTGCTTTTGAAGCTAAAGTTGTATTTACAAATAAATGATTAAATGTATTGGAAACTAATGAGTCTGGAAACTAGTCATTAGTAGTTTCACAGTTATCTGTAATAAGGTTTTTTGGAAAATCATTAGGCCGGTCGAATAAAAATGAGCAATTGCTTTTACTCACTAATTGGTCAGTTTTACGTGAATAAAAACTTTAGCAGTTTTTCTCAAATTTTAATTCACATAAAGTTAAGCAATTTACTCAGTAGTTGCTTATCTTTACGTGAATAAAAACCTAAGCATAAATTGCTGAAGTTTTTATTCACGTAAAGCTGACCAATTACTGAGTAAAAGCAATTTCTCATTTTTTATTCACCCAGCCTATTAATGCTTATCCTTTTTTTCCCCTTTAAACTCCTTCATTCTTCGCCACATTTTTTGTGCGTCATTTTGAACAATTGGTTATTTTAGTTGAAGAAATTTCTTGTAACATAATCTTATTCTTGTAATTTCTTAATTAAGAAATTTCTTGTAACATAATCTTATTCTTAAAAAATTCTTTAGTTTCATTATCACACCTTATTCTTTTTTTTTTTTTTTTTTTTTTTTTTTTTTTTTTTTTTTTTTACATATTTAATATAATATATTACAATTGGTTATTTTTGAACAATTGGTTATTTTAAACTTTTGTGAGGGCTTTATAACTGTCTCGAAGAGACGTTTATAACTTATATAATTTGATTCGTTTTCGTAAGTTCCTTCTTTTTCAGAACTTTTTGTATTTTTTGGTGAGGGTTTTAGCAGGATTCTGCAGGGTTTTTTGTTTTTATAAACTTGCTAATTATTGTAAAGGCTTTATTATTGCGGCTTTGAAATATGCAATAAAAACTATCATGATCATTATCAGCATTTTTTTAATTTCTAAAATAGGTTAACCAATTTGTGGTGGATATTAAATTGTTAAAAGTCATTTTAAGAAGGTATCATTAAATAAACATTTTTAAATTTTTACTTTTTTTTTGATGCATTAATGAGAAATTATAAAAACTAGTCTGAGAAGTCAGTTACAATTCTTATTTTTATGCTTTTGAAATTATGATTTTTGCGATGCGGGTTAATCTGTTTATTGTTAAAATAAATTCGTTTTCAAATAAAAAGTATCGTTAAAAACACGTTTTTATTTTTTAGACAATTGAGAAAGTCTAAATTAATATCACTCACAAAATAAATGCATTTTCCAAATATACTATGTTTTTGTTATTAAACATTTAAAGTATTTGATAAATGATTTTACCTTAATGCGGTCTGAATGCACAGTTAGACAATTTTGACTTTTCTATTCGCACGGCCGCCGTGTTCCGATTCTAAAAAGGCTATTCGCACGGCCGCAAAACCAAATCTTGCAATCAATTTTTGAGTCACTTCCTGATAATAGCTTTTCTTCAAATTTTGCATACATACTCTTGCTTGATAACAATACAATATTCAATAATTAATTTTGCAATAAGTTAATTAATTTAATTAATTTAAAATTTATAAATAAGTATACTAACTGTTTGCCTTCTTAAACGCGCGTTTACCTTAATTGGTAAAGTCGTCCACATCGTTGGAAGTTCGAGTCTTGCCTCTTCCTGAATATTTTTTTTTTTACACACGCATACACCCAAATGTTAATAAAATAAAAAAGTATTATAAGAAAAAACTTATTGCAAAATTTTTGTTTTTAAAACATATAAAAACACTAGGCTTTAAAAATTAGTTTAAAATTTTTCTTTTCGCTTTTTTTTTAAAATGGCAAAAAATTCTATGTAATTACCAAAGCTGTCATTTTCTTTCGGGTCTTCCTTTTCAGCTTTTAATTTGTTTTGTTGTATCTATTAATTAATTCTAAAGTTACGGTACAGTCCTATTTCAAATTTTGCCAATTTGACCATGTAAACACCTTTTCTCAACTATTTATATGGCAGCCTTGCCAATAGTTTTTTTTAAAAGTTGTACACGGCGGCCGTGTCAATAGACACTATCACTTTTTTGGCGACTAAATATCCCAAGATTGCCCTTTTTAGGGTTGATTTTATATATATTGGGGATTCCAAAACAATAAATTTTAAAATCCTGGATTAAAATCCAAGGGACATATTTAGTTTTTCATTTTTTTTTTTTTTATATTTTACAAATATTTTTTAGCAAAAATAGATTGTTTTTTCCCATACTCTAACGATTGCGACATAACCAATTCCCTTTAGACAGTCATTTAGAATATTCTTTTTAAATAATCATTAGTAATTGCTACACGAGTAGTTTCCTCCGGACCAATATTTGTCACGCTCTCTTCAGACAATCATAACTAATTGCTAAACTATTGGAGACAATCCTTGGAGACAAATTCAGCACAAAGAATTTGCACATAAATGAAATAAAAAGATGTAGCACTAAACTTATGATAGCTAAGATATGAGAAACTATAAACAGTTTAGCAGTATATAATTAATTTTAATATATTTAATATATAAACGTAAATAAAAGTTACAAATATTAACATGACTTTCTTTCTTTATATCAAATAAATTACACTTACCAACTAAAAAATATTACACTTACAAAATGAATAAAAAGAATAATGAAATCATTGTTATTTTTAACTATTTTTTGAAAAAATAAAAATGCCTACATTTTTCAAAGACCATGATGTTTGCAGAAGAAGAGTGTGTGTTATTTCTATGAAGAAAAGTGACAGACAAGTTTCAAAACATTTCATTTCTGAGATTCATCGCTTGATTTCATCAAATGTGAATTTTCAGGATGAAAGAGTGCCATTTGGAATTTGTGTTACATTCCGTTGCAACCTGAAAAAATTGGGTGATCGAGCTAATGCTTTAAAGGCAATACAACTCAACAGTTTTGATTCCATTGTTGTGGAATCAAAACTGTTGGAATCAAATCCATTATTTGTCTAATTGTGAAGGTGAAAGGCAAATAAAAGCATCCATTAGAAAAGGGTCTTCATCAAAATCTTTGCAAGAAGAAAGAAAGTCAGTTGAAAAACGATGCACAAAATGCTTTTCTATCATTGCTCGTGAAATTTCTCACAATTGCAGTGATACAACTTGCTGTGCTAACTTATATTAATTTTCATTGGAAGATTCTCTGGGCACAGAAAAAATTGCTTCATCTGTCATTGCATAGAAAGAAGCATCTCCAGGCGGAACAATTCGTCTTGGTCAAGCTTATGGCAAACCTCTTCCGATAAGAAAAGGTTAGTTATTTTATTATTCTGTACATTCTGAGCAATAAAATTTATATATGAAGTAACTGATTTAGTTTTCTTTCTTAAGGAACATCTGCAGCTCATTCACTCTTTCAAGGCCCTTTGACAACAAAAAATATGGTTGATATTCAGCAGAGTAATGGACTTTCAAACAATAAAATCAGAAAGCTTGGATCATTTTCTAAACCAAATTAGTCCAGTTCGCCTTCTTGAACCAAATTTTCAACATAAATTTGCTCCAGCAGGATCTAGTCGAAAGGATTTTTTCATTGCTACCAATGTAAAATTGCCAGATTTTTATGAGGTTTGTGACATTGTTATTGTATCAATTTAAAAACCCTGAAGAAAAACATCATAGTTTCAAAAGATTTGATGAGCTTGGACACTGTGAAACTGGTGGAGGATCTTTTTTCAGAGCTAGTTTGAGTCTTATTTTTGAACATCAAATAACAAAGTCCCGTAAAAAAGTCAATTAAGTTGGCTTCAAGTGAAAATTTTAAAAGCACAGGTGTCAAAAAGCAACTAATTGTAGCAATCTGAAAACACCCCTGAAACATCTTGCAATATCAAACTGATTTTGAACCTAATGCAAGTTAATGAATTAATTGACAAATTGATTCTGTCATGTAATATGAAGCTTGAAAATATTATCTGTGGAATTCAGTCTCACAGTAG